AGCTGTTGCATGATCTGTGGATGACGGTTCCTGTGGCTATCACTTCACTTTCTTATAAGCGCAATTCTAAATCTGCCGTTTGCGGTTCCTGTTATCGATTTTTCTTGAATATATATTTGAAGTATGAAGCAAACTTCAGCTATCTATCCTTTTCTTTACCGTCCACTGCTATCGCTCTGATTAAAACCAAAGAAAAACTTCTTTATAGCATCTCGTATCTTCATCTCTTAAACAGATCCCCCTCTTTCCTCTTGCCTTGTTGTTAGAAGGTGTAGTTGGTGACCGTGGCCAATTCTGATGAGACTTATAAGTATATATGTATATACCAGTGTAGGGCATAGGAGGAAACAGCGGTGCGGATAAAAGAAGTTGGGAGAGAGCATCAGAATTCTGTTGAGACTTTTGTTAAGAAAACTTCGGAACTCAACAGCAGGGAAGATTCGTTACCCTTGACTTTGATAATCTCCTAGATTAAGCGTCAAAAAAATCTCCCGTATTTTGAAGAGGAAAAGGTTGTACACTATACTTGGGGTTCGAAATTTTTCATCGATTGAATGAATCTTGTATGTAAAGCTGAATGTCTGTTTGTATGTCTGTATGTCTGTCTGTATGTCTGTCTGTCTGTATGTCTGTCTGTATGTATGTATGTTCCGAATAGAAAATTCCATTTCCGAACCGATCCGGACCAAACTTGGCACACATACACTTCGGGCCCCGGCGGGTGTCATAGGCTACTTTTCGTCATCGATCGATATCGATTTTATCGGTTTTTTTGCAGAGTTCACCTACGGGGCTGGAAGTTGGCACAGGGGGATAATCGAGCATGCTGACTACGATTACAATATTAGCTTTAGAAATCGTCCATTATTTTTGTCGATTTTATCGATTTTTTGCAAACTTTGAGCTACGGGGCTGGGAGTATGCACAGGGGGGTAATCGAGCATGGGAATTCCGAATACAATATTAGTTTTCAAGAATATCGATTACTTTTATCGATTTTATCGATTTTTTTTGCAAAGTTTGAGCTACGGGGCTGGGATTTGGCACAGGAGGGTAACCGAGCATGCTGATTACGAGTTCGATATTAGTTTGGCGGTATTCGGCTATCCGGGCCTCAAAATTTTTTTGTGGTAGAGCTTGCTCAAACTTCTTGTATAATGTTTCTTAAGGGCCCGGCATACTTCAAGCGATTTCAATCGCGACGCGATTTGGCAATATTCCAGGTGTCAATAACTCATTGTAAGCACATTATATTAGGTTGTTGCATAAGTTCTGTCCAATTTTTTTGCCTCATGTTTGAAGCAGCTGTTCTAAGAGAATTTCATCTCTAATGCGATATTGTTGGTATCATTGAAAAGTGGTTTCTCTGCGCTTTCTAAAGCACATCAAATTTCAATAAATTTCTTAGTGTACGGAGATTATTCCAGGCTAAAATCTCTAAGTGGCCGAGGTACGTTTTCACCTTAGAAATATGTTCTCGTGAGAGAAGCTCCACAATGCGCCCTTCAAGTCAAGTTCTTTCATTGGCTGCGGAATAAGGGTATAGAATGCTAGTATATGCAGAAGTTCGGTTCCATGAAGAAAACGTCTTGCTAGTAAAATTTTGTCGTCGAACATTAATTTTTGGTATAGATGTTTTACAAGCAATAACTTTCTGCGGTTAGAAGTAATCGATAAGCTCAAAGTTGGAGGTGCTAGGGCAAAGCAAGAGCTAACAGAGGCCCATTCACCAGTTCCTTTTCGACGCTCACGTCAGCTGTAAAATGTTTTTAATTCATAAAAAGGCATGCACACATGTGCTGAAGCCAGGTCAAAAAGTGGCTAATTTTTTGCTCGGTCAGAAAAATCTCTCGGCAGCGCAAACCCTATGGCTCTCATGTAGCATAATAATCTACGAAAATTTCTCTATCCATCCATTGTTAAAAAAGATGCCTATCAATTTTCATAAGGGAGCGTTACCATGTCAAACAAGACAGATTCGAAAAAAAGCGCTGTGAAGTTTTTGCATTCCTGCTTCTTTCTTAACAAGGATTTGCGCAGTTGCCAATATGCGTTTCATAGCCAAGGAACTGCTCAACACATAGAAACTAAGACCTTGGAAAAAAGTTGACTCTGAAAGAAGTTATGACATTTTGAACTCAAAAAATTAATCGGACAGAACTTATGCAACAACCTAATAAATGTACAGAAGATAGGGCATTTCATCAGTTTACGTAAGTTATACACACTATGCATGTGCAGTTTGCTAATGTTGGATCCGAAGACTTCTGGCGAATTGCTAAATCGCGTCGCGACTGAAATCGCGTGAAGTATCCCCGGCCCTTTACATGCTGATTACAGATATCGCACTTTCTCCGCAGAACGTCTTCCCGTGTGGTTACGATAGGTGTACGGTAGGAAGTCATAATCATGAATTCGGCTGGAGTTCGGTCCATATGGCTTATTCAACATGCTAATTACGAATATCATTTCTCTCTGCATATTGGGGCCTTTTCATAGAGTTGTGGTCGTTATATGGCATGGGGTCGAAAACACAGATTTGCTTTAAACTTCGTCTAAGGTGGTCATTTAGCGCGCTGAACATGAATATCATGCTGATTTCGCAGGATAGTGCATTTTCTTGGGTTACGGTGGGTGTAGATGGGTCGAAGTTCCAGATTTGCTGAAAACCTTATCTGCAACGGTTAAGTATATCGCTTATGAATATGATGCTTGCTCGCTGTCATAACGCATTAGTGAAGTTATGGTGAGTTGCAGGGTTTGAATGGACATTTTTTCGCTTTCGGGCCAATTTAGATACCAGATATTCACGAAGTGGGGAAACGGTCGTTTTGCATGGCGGTCTCCAGCGCCATCCTGATAACCTGTCCCAACGCGTAACGCACGCGGCAAATCTCCCTTCCCCTGTTCTTGCTTAGGCAAAAGCCGCCGAAGGGTGTATCGCGCGCGGCAGTGGTCCTGTAAGGAAACTGATAACCTGTCCCACTGCGTAACGCACGCGGCAAATCTCCTTCCCCCTGTTTTTGCTCAGGCAAAAGCCGCCGAAGGGGGTGTATCGCACGCGGCAGTGGTCCTTTAAGGAAAGCATTACGGTCGTATGAAACTTTTATACCACACGAATTGCCGTTATCCTGGGGATTAAGCACGATTTTCTTGAAACAGCACTTTAGGTATTTCCCTGCCAGGGTTTAAGGCAGATTCATGATTTTTACCCGCTGCTACGCGAAATGACTACGATATTTGTCATCAGCGGACTCAAACAACCCCCTATACCGAGTATGAGCAAGCCCCACCACAAAAGCATCTTAGGGCCAGGATAGCCGAATAACGCCATCGGTTTTTAGAATTATCCTTACTTCTATCAATTTTATTGATTTTTTGCAAAGTTTGAGCTACGGGGCTGGGGGTTGGTGAGGCAGGTAGGTGAGCATACTGATTACTCACACAGCGGGAATAGGGAATTGCATGTAGAAGTGTGCACAGGTGAAAGTGTACAGGGATAGAAATGGAACCTTTATCGTTTTTGACAGGGCCGGGCGGAGCCGGATAAGCCAGCTAGTATCGAATAATTTCGAGATTTAAAATTTTCCGAATAAATGTGAATCCCGAATAAAATCAGAAAATCAAAAGTATTGAATGTCGATTATGTTCGAATATTGGGAGTCAAATTTCGAATAAATTTCGACTATTTATCGAATATCTAGAGCATCCATATCTAAAACTTGCTGACATATTCGGCTAAAGCCGACATCATTCATAATCCTCACCCTCACCCACATCTGCACTCCTGGCTTTGTAGCTCAAGATTTTCCATTGATAAAATCGATAGAATAAATATTACTCATAATCAGCACGCTCACTTACCCCGTTGCATCAACTCCCAGCTCCCTAGCTTAAAGTTTTCAAAATGCGATGAAATCAATAAATTGAAATCTACACCTATCTTTTGCTGTCGCAAGCAGTTGGAGGAATGCGAGTTTGCATACAGTTCAAAGCTGATCACTGCTGCAAAAAATGCTTGCTCATCTTTGTAAAAAAAACGCAGATGAAGCAATTGGCGCTGCAACAAACTCGAATGATATGACGTATTTCATTCAAAGACGAATTCAAATAAAACATTCGAGTAAAATCTATTCGAAACCCTGTTTTTCAGTTATTCGAGTTTTCGAATTTTATTCGAATCCTCGTTTTTTCATTATTCAGTTTCAATCTAAACCCCGTCCTTTCATTATTCGAGTTTCGAGATTTATTCGAAAATGGAAAAACTCCCAATATCGATTTTCGATTGCGAATAGATCAAATTCTTTTCATCGGACCCAAGTATTCTGTACACTTTTCAAGACATTCCAAGATCCACAATACCTTGCCTTGTTAGTTGGTTCACTAAAATGGTAAGTACGTCATGGCTAATGAATTATTTCTTTAAGTTTTGAGATGTGCTCGCTGCTTAAATTTATCTAACAAAGCCAAATATCTCCCTGGGCTGAAAAGCTAAACGGGTTCGAGTCCTTGACCCTGTAGAAATGTAACTACTGCCAAAACTCTGCGCCCTTTACACCCTCTATTTGGTCGGCATAGCGACAAAAAATTGTCTCGAAGGTGCAACAAAAGGATAATTTACATCTTTTTTTCACAATGTCAATGCCTTTCAGTACCAGTGTAGAAGCTTGGGGTTTTACTGAACGGGGAGCTGTTGGCATTTTCCTAGTAAAAAACCAAAAAGGACGGAGAAGCACAGACATGGTTCTGTCACAGTATTCCACGGCTTCTTAGCATCAGAACTCAAAATGCTGCCAAATACAGACGTTTCATGCTCTTTTAAGTGTTTGTTTTTGAGTCATCTGCTGTCTAAACTAGTGTATCGCATCAGGTGTAATTTCCTCATTTTTTGCAAACTTTTACAATAGCCATCATTATTGCTCGACGTAAGCACAGTTTTTCACATTCGTAAACGAGCGTCACAGCCATATAATTTCAGAAAATTTACTGAATCACTCGCGATGATGTCGTGGCTGAAGAAGGTGAGCACGAATCGTTGTTATTGCCTTAGCGTAGATCGCGTTTTGCAATGCAAATCTATTATTTATCATCTCGACATCACCTACACCACAGTAGCCCGAATTCATTACCGTCCCTCTCCGAAACAAATCTGAATTGCTTCATCATTGGTTTTTTCTTTTCTTCAGATGAATTCTTACGAGGATGTGATGGTAAGTGCATATAGTATCACGTTTTTGGCCGGACCAGGCAAATGCTAAAATTGATTTTACCACGAAGGTTTTTACACTGTTCGTCTTTGTGTGAAAAATTTCGGAATTTTTGGCACAGTTTCACAAATGAGGAATGGATTAAGGATATCCGTTGTCTTTATTTCAGCTTTACGAACATGAGTTACTGTAAATATAAAAGCGATGCTATAGCAGAAATTCACTTGCACGTCTCCTTTATTTTACAAAAACACTCTCATTCTTCTTTTACATTTTTAACGTTTTAACGGATTCCGGAGCATCAGGGCTCATACGAAGGCAGTACGGAATTTTTAGCCCTTCACTTAGGCAACGAGATTTTTTAAAACTCATTCAAGTATTCTGAAATTAAATCCTGGCTTTTCTAATGTGACATATACATATCAGTTACTCTCGTCACAATCCTCCAGGTAAAATAACGAGGAAAAATTTTTTGGAAAAGGCTATAAAGAGCCTTTATTCTAACAACTTGTGTACGACCTAGTCTTTGCGACATTTCTTGTCTTTCATCGATAGTCTAAATTCATAAACCTTTATTTCTTATTATTTTTGCCCTTTTCAATTATGAGGATTTCTGCGAATAGCTTTTGATTTGTTCTACAACAATTAGCAAATTATCAGGCTATCGCCTAATCGGAAATGTTTCGCACTCCTTCAAAAGTCAAAAGTTTCAGTGTTCAGAGTTCTTGGCTTTAGCAAGGTTTGAAAGTTCAAGCAGCTATAGAAGTATCTTAAAAAAAAAGGAATACCTACCAAGATTCGCAATCGAGCTAAAAATCAAAAGTTATAAATTCTCTCCAATTTGCTACTCACAATTACACTATTATAGTCTTCATGCGTTATTGCGTTTCCCCTATGATCAACTGAGTCATCGCTCAACATTTACTGATTAAATATGCTTTAACCGAAGATTACTTTGCAAAAACTTTATCCGTTTGTTTGAAGCGAAAATGCAAAAACACTTGCTCGAGTTCCGTGTATGTGAACACCAATCGTGAGATCCTACAGAAATCCACCCTTTACTATATAAGATAAAAAATGAGAAGGACTAAATTTATATATCAAAAGGTCAGATAACTCATCAAGCGCATAGGGCAACGCTTAAACATACACTGACGAGATGTATAGAATTATGATGTGAGGCCTCAAATTCTTAAATTCGCCATCCAGTGCTGATTTATGTTTCACATTGTTGAAGGGCCGGACATACTCCAGGCGATTTCAGTCGCGATGCGATTTGGCGATTCGCCAGTAGTCTTCAGATCCAACACTTACAAACTGCACATGCATAGTGTGTATAACTTACGCGGGTTGATAAAATGTCCCATCTCTTGTGGATTCAGAATGTACTTTCAGTGAGTTATGGACAGTTGGAATGTTGCCAAATCGCGTCGCGACTAAAATCGCGTGATGTATGTCCGGTCCTTAAGGCATACTCGGCTCGTTATCGTAACTTTATCAGTGAACCCGGTATAGTGTAGCCGCCTTCCATTTTCCACATTACAAATTAGAAATCACAATTTTTCCTTTCTCTTCTAGGCTCAAACAAATACCTATAAGTACATTTGTAGAGCCACTCAATTGTGCAATGCGTATATGGAATCAGCGCTTTAGTGTCCAGAAATGGCGTCTTGTGAATGCTTTACGATTTTTATCATTTTACAGTGCAACATTTTTTGGTCAGTGCAGGCAATACTCATCAAAATGTTTTATGACAATTACCGTGACCTTCAGATCAATGACCATATAGGTACTTTCTGATACTCCATAACAAGCGATGGAATTTTATCTCATAAGTACCTTATAGGCTAAAAGATCTCTTTCTCTCATTTGTAGGCTCATCTTATCATCATTAGACTCATACTACCACCTTCGAGCAAGGTCAAAAAATAGCCGAGATTTGACAGCTGAGGTTTTCGCTTGGAGAGAAATATCATGACCTCATCAACGAAACTCCTTGCAAGCTTAGCATTTCTACAATTGCTTCCCCTTACCAAATATATGAGAGCTTTCCAAATTTTTTTGCAGAAGCGGGAAGTCATCATGACTTCTCATTTCTATGTTATCGTTGCCAAAAAGAAAACAGCCATCGGTATTATTAACAAAATTTACTGAACTGATGCATCGAAAACGAGAATAAACGGGTAGTATAAGGAGAGCGAAGACCCATGATAGTTTCGCATTCCCATATAAAAGGCGCAGAAATGTGAGATTTTTTTCCGATTGCGAGTAATAAAAGCAGATAATGCAATATACAGGGTGTCTCAAACGTAAGTACACACTTTTCAATCGCTATCTTCCCGTTGAGTCTTTTTCGCCATTCAAGCACCATTCTGTAGAGCTTCATATTAGATTTACGGGGCGAATCACCGATCACTCTTCATTGCTGTAGGATTACGGTAAAAACTTCGGCAAGGATTTTAGGACATTGGAGGCCATATTCTCCTCGGAACAAAACCAAACAAACTAAAAACTTTCATACTGTGGTAATGGAAGACGCTGATTTCGAATATGAATTCCACTTTACTGTGATGCTTCTTTCTAAAGTTATCCCTGAAAGTGATGAGGGAGGGTTGAGGGATGAGGGTTTCGCTAAAACAGTTTTTAGAATGGGTCGCGAAATTATTGAAATTCACTTACGTGGGTTATAAAAATGTGTGACTTTTTTATTTCTGGAAATAACTACAATAATTTTTATAACTTCCTAAAAGTTCAAATTAGCCTGTAAAAAAATTTTTTTTCGGGGGACAGAAATCCTGGGACCGCCACTGATATATACATATGAAGAGATTTTTCTATTAGGTTGTCCGGAAATTAATGCCCGTTTTGAATTTCAACCGCAATAAGTCATACACTTCTCATTTCTAGATAGGTTGCAAAGCACCATTCGATAGAGCAAAGCAAGCTCTACAAGATGGCCATCTTGCTTTTGCAACAGCTCTCATCCACCTCGAGTTTTCAGCCAAAAACTAAAAGGACTCAGCAGCCCGAAAAATCGAAAAAAATCGCAACACAGTTCATAAAAGTCCTACAAAAATTCTTACTTGCTCACGTAAACACTATCCACATAAAACATCTATATACGTCTTTGCCGTATTTTTTTCCTCTGTTAGAAACCAAGAAAACGGAAATTTTCGTGCATTTGCCAAACTGGTGTTGTGCAGTTCCCACATAGGTAGTGGTGTACAACAAGCCTTTAGAAGTACAGACTCAAATTTTCAGCTCTCTACAAGCTTTAGTTCTCGAGAAATACCGAATATAGCTTTCCCTAGTTAGGTGGCCCAAGCTAAAATTCAAATTTCTCGAGAACTAAAGCTTGTAGAGAACTGGGAATTTACGTTTGTACTTCTACAGGTTTGTAGTATACAACTAGCTGGGTGGGGACGGCACAGCATGACTTTGGCAAATGCACGAAAATTTCCATTTTCTTGATTTCTAACAGAGAAAAAAATACGGCAAAGGCATATATAGATGCCCTATGTAGATTGTGTTTACGTAAGCAAGTCAGAATTTTTGTAGGATTTTTATGAACTGAGTTACGATTTTTTTCGATTTTTTGGGCTGCTGAGTCTTTTCAGTTTTTGGCTCGAAACTCGAGGTGGATGGGAGCTGTTGAAAAAGCAAGATGGCCATCTTGTAGAGCTTGCTTTGCTCTATCGAATGGTGCTTTGCAACCTATTTAGAAATGAGAAGTGCATGACTTATTGCGGTTGGAATTCAAAACGGGCATTAATTTCCGGACAACCTAATAAATCAAATTTGGCCGTAAAGTATTGGTCCGACTCCTATATTATAGTCCAAAATTGCTTTGAAATTGCGGATATGCAGAGCAAGTGCTTTGAATCTGTCATCTTTCATGCAAAAAATGTCATCTATGACTTTTGATTCGGTTCAAACGATCCTGCAGCAGTAACAAGGATAATGAGATTTGTTCCATTTTATACACCAGATATGTACCAGAAACAGCTATACCAAAAAGATGTAATTTGGAATAAATACTCTATGATGAGAATGAAAAGAATGCTTATTTTTCCTCTTCGGGGAGCGTTTTGAACATTCTTTGAAGCACGGGTTTTCCAGTGATGTTTTTTATAGTAAACAGACTTTTTTGAGAACTCCATGTATTACAGGGCTCCTAATGTTTGATTCTTTGTTTACAAAGGCTTCAGTTTATCACTTCTTGGGAATCCATAAAAAATGCTCTGGCTGTTATAAGCATGAGGAAAGAGTTTACTTGGAGTATGTCTCATTTACAGGATTCGCGCGAGCGTGAACTTCACTTAATTTCTTAGATGGAAATTCGAAGCTTGTCTGGCTCTTTAGTCGTGCAGAATTTGACAAAATCTTCTTTTAATAAATAAGCGGTACCAATGCTTCAAGAGCCTATCAATCGAAGAATGCCTGGCAATTTGCTGTGTGCTGTACAAGCAAAAACTTTGACTTGAGTGGAGTATTTTTATTGCGATTGTCTTCACTTTTTTAATTTTTTTGTTGTAAAAATCATGATGTCTCACCACTCCGTGCTTGAGGGCTCGCACAGATTCATGCCCATTTGCGGAACCTTGGTCATATTAACTTTGGGTAGATTAGCTATCATCAGTATCTAATTAGATTCGCCAACTTTAAAAAACCATCGCTTCACCGCAAAGTTTCACTCATGCCTCTCAAGCAGTGAACCATACAGTTCAAACCATTGCAGTGTTTGGGAATATTTCTTGAGCTTTCTCTCAAACGAATATTGTTCAAAAGAACGAATTCTGGACCATGCTTTTGAGCTGAGAAAAAGTTGTGATTGCTATGTTGATCTACCATCAATCAGCAAGAGTGGAAGTCAATTGCGGAAGTGAATCATGCTCTGTTTTCTGCTTCCAACCATTTCTATGGATTGTTATTAGCATAAGAACATAACATATTTATTTAGAATAGATTAAGGATTATTATCTAACAAAAACATTTCCTTACTCTTCGCTCGCTTTCAAGCTAGGTTTCACCAAAATGTCTTGCTGGTTTTTTGAGATAACATATAATAACTCTCTTGATTTTCAAGATATAATAATTCTCAAAAATTTGTCAAAGTTGACAATTTATTCATGTTCTTCTATTTGAGTCCTCCTTCGTGCGCGAAAATATGCCGACTTTCTAGTATTTGATCGTTCTTTGTGCGAAAATATTTATGTAACATGTAGTTCAGAAATATACGAGATATCTGCAAAAAACCGCAAATTTTTCTCCAACAGTTTTTTCTATGCCCTTTCCGAGACTTCTTCTGAAAGTACGCATAATTTCATTGCTCGCAAGAACTTTTCTTTGACATAATAGCAACGTGAAATCACTGTGGAAAAAGTTATTCAGTATAAGCTAATTCCTTATGCTTTATTCTACACCTTTTTATTTGAGGTACTAATGGGATTGGTCGGAGAGCGATCTGTATCCAGATCTTATGTTTCGCCACCACCTGGATTATCGACGGACACCTCCAGTAATGGCAAGGGATACCGCGTCTACCCGGCAAGATGGCTAGTTCTTTGCGTCTGCTGCCTACTAGCAATGTCAAATGCTATGGTAAAATTTGTAAATTTTCCGGCTATACACAATATTCATATGCATTCATGCCAAAGTGCTAACGATAGAAGATCGACAAAGTCCATGAGCTTAAATATATATTTTTAGTGGCGCAAAGTTTTTGCGCAGAAACAAAGTTCGAATTTCCAAATCTAGAACCTAAAGTATTGTGTCAATGAAGAGAAGAAAGCTTGTGCCTTACAATAATTGTAGCAACTTTCTGCTGACTAGCTGTGAAAAAAGAAACTTTTAAAGGCAGTGTCTGGGCAAAATGGGGGTTTTGGGATTTCAGTGCCATGCGAGAGTGGTCCCACCCAGACACAACACTGCGGTACGAGGTCATAACGTTCGACCTAAAGCAAGAAAAAGATCGGAAAGTGGGGAAACTTACGCCTTGGGGCGGGGTCCTCCGAGCTGTCCGAATTTCTGCTATGCGGCAGAGTGCGCATGCCGCCACAGTTAAGATGTAGGGCCCCGAAGCGACTCTGCGTCTCTGCCTTGGTGGGGACCGCCGAATTTCAAATTGTGCGGCTTTGGAAAACGTATGTTCTCGCCGTTTTCACGCTTTCTACTGTGGATTTTCTGATCCATCGCTGCGGATAACCCCCGGGAAGCGGATTTTCTAAAAATCGAGTTTTTGCCCGGACACTGCCTTTAAGAAAAGCGCTAAGAAATTCGTAATTTTGAGTTTGTCTTCAAAGTACTGAGGTGTCGCTAGTTAGCCCACAAGAATGTGTGAAAATTTCTTACATAGCAGTAGTTCACGCACAACATTGCAAGCTTTCATCTTGCATAGAAATGCAAAAAAAATTCACGAGAAATTTCACGCAAAAATTGCTTATCAACGCATCTTCTTCATAAAAACGCGGCCCAATAAGAGAAATTTGCCGTAATGCTTCACTAAATCGCTGTGATTGAAATATGTTGTCAAAATGCACTTTTATTGAAAAAGTACAGTGATAAGAAAATTTTGTTTTCTTGCGAAATGACATTTTTTACAAAATTTTTGTTTTGCTTTTCGAAATTGAGGCTCGCCACAGTAATTTATGCTATGTAGAAAATTTTTGCAAATTCTAATATTTTTTTTTGAATTAACCTCATATAAAACTGAAGTTCCGCTATCCTCATCGGAAGCATGTCTATCCAGACACACAACAAACATTTCCGTCTAGATAGCTTTCGCGAGACACAAACCTTCTTCGTTTTTCACTAGGTTTCAAATTTTAGAAAGCTATCAAATTTTGTTTGATTTCCGAAGAACTTGCTATCATCCTGATAGTAGAGTTTAGACACTCATCAACTAATGAACTTTAAAAAGCTAGACAAAGTAAAGAATTTAGATCGAGTCAGTATTTTGGATAAATCGACTATTTCCAACAAATTTTCTTATTCACCACGAAGTTCCTGCAGCTTGATAATCAGTAATCCATACAAAAACACGCAGAAGCTGTGCCAGACACTTTCCATCATCATTTCAAGGATGTGTCAAAACCTGAGATGCAGTGATCTTTCCTGAGCCATGAATATCTTAATAACCTTCTATTGGGTAACCCAGGTCTGGCTATGCTTGCTGAGGGTTTTCTTTTTTCATGTCTGTATCCGTCGAGCACGGAGTAAAGTGCTAATGTGAGCAATTTTGAAGAAATAATCAGATATTCTCTACTCTTTCGCTCGTTCTCACTCAGAAGGAACTTGTGAAATGCCTTTAAACGGATTTTGCACAGTTGAACCGCTTTCCCAGAAGAAAGGCTTGACGATGCAGTACGGGGGCTATAGCATCCCTCAGGGGTGGTTCACATGAAGTGTGACGGCTGCGAATTCCATTTCCTGTCCTTTTCATGTCATGTCTCGATGGCGGCCGGCTTCTCCATATCCTTCTGTCCTATTGTGGCCATTTTGACTCCTATTCTTACTTAAAGGTGGTCTAGCTCCGCGATAAAAACAGGAATTAATGATTCGAAATCCTGAAAAGGGACTGTGTGCTTTCTTGGGCCGAAGCAAACACTTTTGAGGCTGTCAAAATTTTTTAGGATTACTAGGCATCTGTCCACAGCTGCGCCAAATCCATATTTTGAACACTGCATAAAAAAGTTTGGCCTTCTAGCTTGCGCATTCTTAACCACGCGGATTCTCTTCCCAATCTAACTGTAAGGAAAAAGTCTGCTTTCAAAATCCATGTCACCTGATTTGCAAAAAAGAGGTCTAATAAGAGCCTGGGACCGAAAACCACAGCGCAACATGGAAAATTCTCGAAAGTAAAAAAAATACTTTCACGGAAGTCGGAGGATATCCTGAAATTCTATTTGGTCTTGTGCAAAATTTTCCTGTCTATCAGATGAAGACTAGAGCTTGCAAGTTTTACTCTCACGAAGGTGGCGCTTTCACACGCCGGATATCGTTTTCTGAGGGACAAGCAAAAGAAAAATCGTAAAGTTCTCAAAGGAATCCGGATCTGATAGGGTAGCGAGCACACTTCTTACACCTGATAAGCCCGGATTCGACGCTTTAACGTCATTCAACCACTAACAAGGGAACGATCCCAACTTAAGGTGGCGAATTGGAATGAACCGCATATCTTTTTTCCTATATAAAAAAATATAGATAAAAAATAAAAAATAGATATAAATATATAATAGATATAAATAATAAAACATATATAATACTGGCATACGAATACGATACTGCCATTAGAAAGGCTCTCGAGGCGTTCTGGATTTTCGCAAGAAATCCTAGCATGAACAGCCGAAATGAGTGTATGTCAATCACAAATGACTTTATGCCATTCGTGACGTTATGTGAGTTGAAAGACCACTGATTAGTTCGAATATGGTATACAGTGTATTCCATTATTGGTATCAGTGGCACTGAAGGACGGCCGCTTTCAACATCTGCGCGCCGGCGGTGGAGGAGGTTGGTTCGTCTTTCACGTTATGGAGTTTTTGTTTGTAGCATTCTGGGGCAACGTCGAGGCTAGTCGGGGATGGAGGAGGTTTTTGGTGGGGTAGACATAAAATCATAAATCTCTTACCACTTTAGGCCTCTGAAGAAGACGAATAGTTCGAAACGTTAGGCCGCCACTTACTAATAAATACTAACCTCGATTGGCTTACAAACTACTCACAACAGAACCGCATATCATTAGATGCGTCTTGATGAGCTGTTTACCAAATTTACCTTCCATATTTGCGATGCCGTTATCTGCAAAAAGTTATGAGCCGTTGAAAATGTGAAGTTATCGGGGTTTCAATGCATAATGTGCTTCAAAATCCAACTTGGGAGTGTATGAATAGCATGATATTGAATGTGCTGATTTCGAGGGATGCTCACAATCTAAAGAAACACAAATAAGTGTTTTTGAACAATTAACTTTCGGGGTATGGCGATGTATATTTGCCAAATTTGGACTTTTCATTGCTAATAGCTTTTACCAATGCACTTTAGTCGCTTTTCAGCTGTTCAAAACCAATTATCTGTGTTTCTTTTGAATCTGAGCATTCCTTGAAATCAGTACACTCAATATCATGCTAGTCGTGGGCTTCCAAGTTGGATTTTGAAGCACATTATGCATTACCCCAATGACTCCACATTTTTGACCTTTCATAACTTTTTTCAGATAACGGCATCGCAGATAAGGAAGGTAGATTTGGAATCAGCTCATCAAGACGCATCTAATGGTTTGCGGTTCATTCCAATTCGCCACCTTAAGTGTGGATCGTTTCCTTGTAAGAGGTCAATTGACATGTTGAAAGCATGATCAGTGCACCAACTTGTGTTCCCGCAATTCCCAACTTGTTAAAACATGATCTCTAAACACAAAAGGATAAACAGCCAGTTTATTCACAACGACAGCAATACCGAGCCATTAAGTTTGGTATATGGCTTCGCGATGATGAGGAAAAGATAAATATGAAAAATTATGAGATAATTATGTGAATGAAGGAAGTATTAAGTGTTTTTCTATTTTAGGTTGCTCCCGCGCAACCTGGAAGAATCATGAGGTTGCGCGAAACCAAACAAAGTCATAATTTACCCACTTCCTCACATATTTCGAAGATTTTTACATAAATCTATCTTTTAGTTTAAGCTCTATCTATGAATACTCTTTAGCCCAATCGATCACACTGCTTTCGTACGGCAATTAACGATATAAAATTTCGTCTTCTGTTGTTTTATCCCTAATTTTCTGGTTTTTTTTCACTTTTATTCATCCATCGTTCGCTGCAGATTGTAAGCCGTACTTCCACAGATCCACAAAAGGTATTCGTAAATTTCTGCAGTGTCAAAGGAGAATTCGTTTCTAAGATTTCCAAATGCCACCTCATGCTGGGCCCTGACTTTATGTGGACCACTCTGCACAGAACCATGTGATAGTGTAGGCTATGGGTTGTTTCATACTGAAGTCGCTGCAGCTACTGCAATATGGAATAACCCTCTGTTCACGAACAAAGGCAGAGCGCCATGATAGTACACATATTGTCAGAGATCACAGGAAGTCCTATTTTTTCCGTTAGCTATTCAAAAATTTGTTACTTCAAGAAGATAGTTTGTTGCGCTGGTTATTTACAAATTTACAGTTGTGGCTCAGTTTCATCACGTTGACGGAGGAGACCCAGATTTTTTATTGCAACCGAGAAGACTGCTCAGCAGCTTTCTACACTAACCAGATATTCCAGGTACTCAATTTATTTGTTCAGCTTTGTGTTTTAGATTTCATGCTGCCTACTTACAATGGTTTTTTTCTTCACTAAACTGGTATCAGATATAACACCAGAATACATAAGTTTTCAGTTGGTTGCAGTTGTTACTGGGATTGGTGGTATGTATATCACCGACAACTACGGCATACGTTTATCGGTAGGAATATTACTTTTTGCAAATGTTTATGGGAAAATGAATGGCAATTACAGATTATGTGCGGCACATCTTTGAACTTCCTTGGTTCGTTACTTCGAGTGATTTCTTCGATTCCATCAATCAATGATTTCTCTGCAAGGCAAGCATTGCTTCACACAGGCAAGGAATAATTTGGTTCTTACGGATGGATTTCGTGGCCAGAAGACAGATTGCAGGTTCTGTCATAGCAGCCTCTGCACAGGCATTATTCCTTGTTTTGCCCTCAAAAGTTGCTGAAGCATGGTTCCCTGAACATCAGCGATCACTTGCCAATGTTCTTACTTTCATAGGTTAGTGTAGAGTTCCACTAATACTGCTAATTGAGTTATCTTTAGCGAATCCTCTGGGTGTTGTGCTGGGAACTATACTACCATCGTTGTACTTTAGCGGTAGCGTCAAAGTAGAAAGTTCTTCTTGGCATATGTTTGAGTTCGTGAGTTTTTCTGTCAACTACTGATGCTACGTTTAATTGATTGTGGAAACACCCTGTTTTGGTCTCAAAGTTTTTCGTTTTATTTGGACTGGTCGATTCCAGAAAAAAACCCTGCGGCACACCTAAAAGTAGGGTGAAAAGTTCTGAAGAATCGCTATTATTCCATTTGATACAACCCAAAATTTGAAAGTCACGGATTTTGCAGAAAATTTACCAAGGGGGGGGGGCATTCGACCTGATAATCGCAATTGATATGAATTTTTTTGCTTTTTTTGAGGGGATGTGATAGACATGAGGTAAATTCATTTTGCATAATAAGCCTTTTATTGAGGCGTTACAGTTGGCACATAGTAACTGAGAATTTCTTGGAATCCTGCAGAGAGGTTATTCGACCTGCTGATCAGTAATACCATATCCATTCCCCACGAAGACTTATGGTAAGGTTACGGTAGTACCCTGGTTAGCACTTCAAAATTCTCTGGAACTTCGCATAGGGTTGGGGTTTGTTGGACATGATGATCACGAATAACATATCCGTTCCCCTCGTAGGCGCCCCCTCGTAGGTAGGAATGTGGTCTTTGGGTCTCCTTTGCACAGGTGGTTAAGACAATGTTAGGCCATTGACGGCCACCCTCCTTCAGAAGTTGTGGAGCGACTTCTAGCGCAGGAATTTTTCGCTATAGTCCGTTAGCGACTCCCTCAAAAAGTGCTGTGAAGGAGGATGTCATTGATGCTGCATTTACGCTTTACCATTCCCATGAACTTCTGCTAGTGACCTATGTGCTAAGTGTGAGGGCCAGTGTTGAGATTCACAAAGATCATCTGATGAATCATGGTCAGGTGATGGTATCTCTGCGGCGAATGCGATCCCGTTTTGGGCACAACAGCAATCGCTCACGATAGTGCTTCCAGGCCAAAAGTAGCTTATAATCAGCCTGAGGAGCGTTTTACGTGCGCTAGCGTAACAAAGCAAAGAAACCCCCTGCTCTCCCTCTTCCATAGCCACCAAAGAGCCACTGGTGGCGTCGAACCACCTGTTCTCAGTTTACTTTCTCCTTCACGCAGGTCTCATCTCAGGGCCGGCACGCGTTGTTCGGAGGACTTTTGAGAACGAAGTCCCCCATGACTCCACAAATTTTTACGAAGTCCCCTTTGACCCTAAAATTAGGATGCCTGGCATGCAGAGCCTTTGACGTTCAAGAAATCTGTTTCCTAAGCATCCATGTTCGACTATCCATAAATCTTGGCATAGTTGCAATCTTTTTGTTAGTTGCTTGAGCAAAGTCCAAGATTGGTACAGAACTTTATCGCACAGAATAACAGACTTTATCGCACAGAATAACAGGGGGCGCGCCCCCCCCCCCCCCGCCCCCCTCGGTACGCCACTGGTCTGCACCCACCAAATTTTCATCTGAACTCACATACCGGTACTGGAATTGAAGAAACGAAAAGAAGAAATACGTTTATGAAATGTGCATACGCATCCACGCCGAAAGTCGGACAGTCGCATTTGAAAAGCTGAACTAACTAAAAATAGAATAAAGTAGTTTGGTTAAAATTCTATGCAAATTCCATACGCTACTGAGTCACTGAAGAACAAGATTCTGACTCAGTTTGGTATGCATGTAATACCACTCTCTGCTGCTTTCACATGGTACAGTCGAGTAGATATCCTGCTTAGCATAGTGTTTCTGCAGACGCGACAACGGTTGTGCGTCGATTATTGCCGTCTGCAGGGACATTTTAAACAGAAGATCTACTCAATCTACATGGTGTAAAAATAGGATATAGGGCTCTGCGTGATCGCGAGAGTCGGTGAGTCTGCTGCCGTTGCACACGCACAAGGGCGTTGCCACAAGGGCAAACTAAGGAAGCTGGATGCGCGCATAATGGCCGCAAACTCATCGACGCTCGCGACCAAGCAGAAACCTTCAACAAAACTGGAGAAGAACACAAGAGGAAAAAGAAAAACGGAAGCATGCGTTACCGGTAAATCTCGCTCGTACACATCTGCAGGCGTGAGATCGTGCAACTCTTCCTCCAGACGACGGAGTGCCACTGTACGATTTGCAGCCATTACTATTATCTAAACCTGTCAGTCTCAAAATAGCATGCTTGGCCAACAACTTTGCTGCGTATAGCGCCTGTTTTCGAGTATAACTGTTGAAGCGCGAAAAAGAAAATCGCTTGGTTTTTGCACTCAGTGAAGGGAAGACATGTTGCAGGGAAGATAAGCAGCCCAGAGTTGCAGAAGGGGCAGGGGATCACAAAAACTAAGTATGGCGAAATATCTCAAATTTCCGTTCAACGGTCTCCAGAAGTCTAATTTGATAATGATCTAAGGTAACCCCTCAGAAGGCCCCACTACGCGAAAAATATCTTTTCTGTGATCAGTATTCGGAAGACCTCCTATGCAAAGTTCCAACGAATTTAAGACCTGACCACATCCCGTATTCCTAATGAAGCCCTCCAAAAAAGCAGCACCATGCATGCAAAGTAAATATCATCCTCGTGTTCAGCAGAATAATCCTCCTTCAGTGGAAAAAATTCCAGCAGAATCCACGGCTTTCAGTTTTTGGGTTGTATTACGTGGAATAGCGCCAATAGTGTTGTTTTAACGAAATACGTCAAAAATGATTCCGAAACAGATCGATACAGATTAAGCTGATTTTGTAAATACATTGCACATGTTGGAAGGCTTTTTAGCTGAAATGATTGGACTTTTGATAATTTCGGTATCATAAAACACGCTTGATTGGACTTTTGATAATTTCGGTATCATAAAACACGCTATCAGGTATAGCTGTCTTAATCTGCAAGGCTTAAAACATACCTCGTGTCGTGGTCTATACAGTGCTGGCCATAATTATATAGCCACCCTAGAAATCGTCGTAATTTTCGTTCTTGTCAATGAAATCTGTCTGAAACTTTGCTGTATTGTGCGCATGTCAACCTACCATGACTCCTCAAAACGGCTTCCAGTATTGTTGAGTTTGAACGGAGAAGTAAAAATTCTAAAAAGCCCTCTTTGAAAGCTGGACAAAATTATATAGCCACCTGGTTTTTCTAATCACTGCATTCGTTGACTCTCAAATTTTTTTTGTACAATAATACCCCAAAATATGAAACATTTGCAACACCTACGGCCTCTCATCCTACTCAAGTAGAAGCGATCACTGCATTTTTTGCTTTCAAAACCACCAAAAATCAGTTTGCTTCAACAAACAACTGGTTTGAAGAGTCTTCAAGCTCTTGTTCATTTCAAATGATAATCATGGAATCTACTGACCGTTCTGGATAGATGAGGTGAAGAGCGCTTTCATGAACTCTGCGTAATCGCTGATTTTGACGGACAGACTTTGACCTCAACATAGGGTTGAGGCACTTTTGCACCACAAACTTCGATTTTCAAGCAACGGAAATCGTAGCCATTACGAAAGCCATACAACAGTGAACTCGTGTGCGTGACTGGGAAAAGATTTCGGGATTGAGCACTCTGGTTCAGCCGCAGTTGACATCCACTGAATGTTGAGTGGAGCACCCTGTACAATCAAAGCCAACTCAGATCACGAGATAAAACAGGAGACGCTCAAAACTTCAAAATCTTAGCTAATCTCATTCATTGGATGAAATATGACGTGAAATACAGAGGGAAATAAGGAGATCTAGGGTTGTATCGAATCTTCTGCTCGCAGGGAAATTTCGCGGAAAGTATCTCAGGTCTAAATCGCTACCGCATCATTAGGGAAAATCTGAAAGTTGTTGCGAAAGCTGCATCCCCATGTAGGCAATGTAATAAATCAAGTTCAGCACTTTGTGGACAATGCAAACTGAATTTTGTGATTTAAAAGCGCTTCAACCCTATGGTGAGGTTGGAGTCTGTTCGTCAAAATCAGCGATTACGTAGAGTTTACGAAAGCGCTCTACCTCATCTATCCAGAACGGTCAGTATATTCCATGATTATCATTTGAAATGAACAAGAGCTTGAAAACTCTTCAAACCAGTTGTTTGTTGAAGCAGACTGATTTTTGGTGGTTTTGAAAGCAAAAAATGCAGTGATCGCTTCTACTTGAGTAGGATGAGAGGCCGTAGGTGTTGCAAATGTTTCATATTTTGGGGTATTATTGTACAAAAAAAATTTGAGAGTCAACGAATGCGATAGTGATTAGAAAAACCAGGTGGCTATATAATTTTGTCCAGCTTTCAAAGAGGGCTTTTTAGAATTTTTACGTTTTCTCCGTTCAAACTCAACAAGACTGGAAGCCGTTTTGAGGAGTCATGGTAGGTTGACATGCGCACAATACAGCAAAGTTCCAGACAGATTCATCGACAAGAACGAAAATTACAACGATTTCTAGGGTGGCTATATAATTATGGCCAGCACTGTATGTAGCGGTAGCAGCAACGCAATTAGTGCGTATCGATTGCAGCGGAGTGACGCTGCTGTCTCTCGTTGCAGCAGCTAACATGAAAGATTGTCTACACCTGGCGAGTTAATTTTGAGCAGCGCTGCACCGCGCTACTCATGCTGATCAGCGCTGCACCGCGCTACTCATGCTGATCAGCGCTGCACCGCGCTACTCATGCTGATCAGCGCTGCAACTAGCTTTGCAGCTGATGTACTTTCACTTTTTTGAGCTTATCTCAGCTACTAGGAGTTGCAATTAGCTGTTTTTGCTTGAAATAAACTGTCTTCATCAATGTTCAGTAAAAGGAACTATAAGAAGAGGAGTCTTTAGACTTTGTAGAGATATGAAGCAAGTATTCAAGACCAACAACGGATAGGCAAGAGTCACTGACAGTGTGGTCAAATAAAATTCAGCCTCCAGTAAACCTTAATTACGATCATTGTCTGAGGGATCTTCACTCTGTTAGGATCATTACTCTACAACGGCCAAACGTAATCACTAAATTCAAATCGCTCTTCTTACATATGCTTCATTATTGGGTTACTTTTCCAGTGTGAATGAAGTTGATAGTGAAAGCAGGAAAAAGAATTTCTCAAAAGGTAAATTATGTCCTAGAACCCACTTGAAACATTCGGACTAATTCTTCTTTTCAACGTACCAAAGCTCAAGGATTGAGCAGTGATTTTAAACGGTTTTCGCACTTAACGTGCATCCAAGAAACGGCCGATTGCAGTGCTGATCGGCTGAGATTTTGATGCTCGCGGTTTTTTTACATATCTTTCCGTTAGATAAGGTATGAGAGAAAACGCAACTAAAACTGCAAATATGGGGTCGTAATCATCAACAAACCCAGGATTTTCCATCATTGGGTAGGGTGAACCCAAGAGATCGGTATCCACGAAGCTAGTGGGTCCACAAAATCGGAAGTGCTTTTTGGAAATATTGGTCAATTCAGCGGCACTGCGTTCGCTTACCCACCGTCGTTAAAGGCAGTGGATCGGCAAAATCCAACAACTCAGGATTTTAACGCGTTAGGTTCCTTATCGCCGATGTATAACAGTGCAATCCCGGTTGCACAGCATGCTTTCCCTGCCGAGAAAATCGCTCTCAAACTTACACGCGCAGGCCAATCTTACACGCATCTGGACGAGTTGGCAATTTCCTTCTCACCATTGGAGGCTGCCTGCCGCAACGCTATAACCATTCGGTCTTGCAACGATTTAGCGTCATCGGCCTTGCTCCACTTGTTCAATTCCAAAGGGAAGGGCATTAAAAAACACTCGTTTTCGCCGTTTTGGTGGATTTTTGAAATCAGCGTATTGAATAACCCCAGGTAAGCGCAAATTTGACTAGGCTGAGATTTGCCGAGCCACTGCCTTTAAGTACGGCGATTACTTGCAGACGTCGAGAAATGACAACGATTGCGTCTCGTACCGTTTAAAGACATCGCTTGCTAGATATCAAATCGAGTGAAGATTTGTCTATCTCCGTGTTTGACGATTGGTCACGATGGGTTTTATCAGATGATGAACTGATGATCACTCATCAAAACTACGTTATATGATGATTTCAACAAAGTTACTATACCTCCTAATCTTAGCTAATCTTTCTTTGCTTATGAAAACTCCATCTGTCACAAGCACGATCACTTTTCTGAGGCCTTGCAAGAAAGAATCGTTCTAGAATGCAAGCATGGCTATATTGACAACTATTGCATTCGTGCTGTCGTTCTTTGTAAGGCATGGTAAACCTCCTACTCCTCCATCGGCTTCATCCGCGAACCATTCGACGGAGGCACCTCCATTCTGGAACGCCATTGCAATTTGCTTCAGGTCAGTTTTCTTGCAGATGAGAGTAGGAGTACTTATTTTATTTGTTCCTTCCAGTAACAAACAGTTTGTTATACAAATGCTTATCTTTGGTCTTGCGTTCGCTGAGCTTTGGAGTTTTATGGTGATAATGGATGACATCATCACAGAACAGGGCTACAAACTTTACGGGTCAGTATTAAGACGCTAAGCCTTTTTGCACCTTGATCTTCGATGCATTTTAGTTATCCGACTGCTTTGGCTGCATTTACTGGTGTGATTGCTTCGCTAATCTGCGGTGTTATCGCTGATTGTACAAAGAGGTTCAAGGAACTAATTCGTTTCTGCTGGATATGCTTCGCACTTGTGTCCATATTGATTAGATTTGTGAGTCTGGTTTTTCGCAAATGGTCAAAGGGCGGTGCATGCTGTGCACAGAGTTGATACTGGGCTGATAGAGGGACACAGAAAAAGATATGGTGTTTGTGGATCATTTGTGCTGACACTTACGCAGTGCCCGATTGAGGAGCCCCCTTCAATTTTCATCAGACAGGTATATATCACATTTACCTGCCGTCCATCTTCAAGAACACTAGTCGCTCAAAAGCATTTTTTCCGAGATTACAAAGTTATCTAAGGGCAGGCTTCATGACAGCAGCTCGCCAGAACCGAACATCCTAAAATTTTGACATGAAAGTTTGATTGCACCCCAAACATGAGAAAAGAGCAGGTCTGAGCGCACAGCATGCTGCTCTTGCCTGGAAAACCCCGTTACGCGCAAGCCATTCTAATACGCCCGGATGAGCTTGCGATTCCCCCTGACCCGTCAGAGAAGACATGCCGCAATGTTGTTACTGCGAAGGTCCCGCAACGATTCTGCCTCTCTATCCATGGCAGGACGTGCTCCACTCGTCCAAATTCAAATTGGAAGGCCTTGGGAAATGGTGGTTTTTGCCATTTTTACGCTCCTCAAGGTGGATTTTGGGAATCAGCGCTTCGAAATACCCCAGGTAAGCAAAAAAAACTTCAACTCGTGAATCTGCAGAGCCGCTGCCTCTAAGGAGTAGAGCAAGCGTAGTCCGTTGCTATGATGATGCTGCCAAAATGGGAAATGAACTTGTGCTCTGCTGAAATTTTAGTATGTCGCTGGACCACCGCTATGGGTTCCTTCATACTACGCCGCAGGACGCGGCGTACTCTGCTCGCAGTCGCAACGAGAATACGCTCATAGCAGCACACGCTGTCTATCAATGTATTTCTATATTTGCTACTCTTCGTATTCTCCGAGTGTTGGCAGCGGAACTGTGCTGCCATGGGCCTATTTTCACTGCGAGCAGCGTACGCTGCGTGCTGCGGCGTACGCGGCGCACGCGGCAGGCTTCCGCGTCCTGCGGCTTAGTGTGAAGAAACCCTATCTTCGCTCGGGAGCAGGGAAGGGGGAGGAGGGAATTACGTGGATGCGTAGAGGTGCTTTCATTTGTTTGGATGGTAGCTGCGGTTCGCATATGACCTTGGGCATACCTCGCACAATTTCACTTGCCACTATAACTCATCTTCATCGCATTTGGAGCATACAAGGTATGAAGCATAGGGTTGGGCCAGACTGCGCGGCGTACGCGACGTACGCAGCGTACGCCGCGTGTGCTCCTATGATGAAATATACCGAGCGTACGCTGCGTACGCCGCGTACGCCGCTTCCCCGCGAAGTCTGGCTCAACCCATACCATTAAGGGTTGGGCCAGACTGCGCGGCGTACGCGACGTACGCAGCGTACGCCGCGTATGCTCCTATGATGAAATATACCGAGCGTACGCTGCGTACGCCGCGTACGCCGCTTCCCCGCGAAGTCTGGCTCAACCCATACCATTAAGGGTTGGGCCAGACTGCGCGGCGTACGCGACGTACGCAGCGTACGCCGCGTATGCTCCTATGATGAAATATACCGAGCGTACGCTGCGTACGCCGCGTACGCCGCTTCCCCGCGAAGTCTGGCTCAACCCATACCATTAAGGGTTGGGCCAGACTGCGCGGCGTACGCGACGTACGCAGCGTACGCTGCGTACGCCGCGTACGCCGCTTCCCCGCGAAGTTTGGCTCAACCCATACCATTAAGGGTTGGGCCAGACTGCGCGGCGTACGCGACGTACGCAGCGTACGCCGCGTATGCTCCTATGATGAAATATACCGAGCGTACGCTGCGTACGCCGCGTACGCCGCTTCCCCGCGAAGTCTGGCTCAACCCATACCATTAAGGGTTGGGCCAGACTGCGCGGCGTACGCGACGTACGCAGCGTACGCCGCGTATGCTCCTATGATGAAATATACCGAGCGTACGCTGCGTACGCCGCGTACGCCGCTTCCCCGCGAAGTCTGGCTCAACCCATACCATTAAGGGTTGGGCCAGACTGCGCGGCGTACGCGACGTACGCAGCGTACGCTGCGTACGCCGCGTACGCCGCTTCCCCGCGAAGTTTGGCTCAACCCATACCATTAAGGGTTGGGCCAGACTGCGCGGCGTACGCGACGTACGCAGCGTACGCCGCGTATGCTCCTATGATGAAATATACCGAGCGTACGCTGCGTACGCCGCGTACGCCGCTTCCCCGCGAAGTCTGGCTCAATCCATACCATTAAGGGTTGGGCCAGACTGCGCGGCGTACGCGACGTACGCAGCGTACGCCGCGTATGCTCCTATGATGAAATATACCGAGCGCGTACGCCGCGTACGCCGCTTCCCCGCGAAGTCTGGCTTAACTCTAACTTCAAAGTTTGCACACATCATGCGGTGCAGATTCACTAGTGGTAGGTATGAAGACTTGGCCACTCGCTTCGCGCGAGGTGTGCCGAAGGCCTATCGCGCTATCTTTGATCGCTTGCCATCAAACAAAACATGTTGTGGTAGTGGCCGTATCTATAAACCTCATCTACACAACTTCAACTTCATTAATTTGGGCTCTCATCATTGTATTGTTAATACCTGTAAGTCATCAGATATCGTGCACTACCTGGAATTATGGCCCTTCCTCCATCGTCCCTAGCGAGCCAGTTTTGAAACGTCACACTTAAAAACCAACAACCTTAAAAGTGGCTCACCTTATCCTTCAAATCGAAAACAGTCATGTCCCAATCCATCCCACGACAGTATACCAAAAGACCAGTGCTGGTATACGTCCTTCCCTACCAAAGGTGCGATAAGGTGAGAATGACTCCTCCAGGGTGAAGGGGGTCACAGTGGTCGCAGCCTCTCCAGGGTGAAGGGTGTTTTACTTGGTAGAGAAATTATAAAATGTCGACGGGGGGGGGGGGAGCTATGGTGTTTTCTCATCATTTTTCCTAGTCAAAGCTCATAATTTGTTCCTTACCATCACTAGTTATCTTTTTTCTGAAATGTGAACCGATGTGCTGCTGGATTAGCACGCAATTATATTTCTGACCAGCATCTTGTATTTTTTTAACATTTCCTTTTCCTTTTTTACATCACCATGCCTGTTTTTGGAATTACCACAGAAGATGTGCATGCGAGAACATTTGTTTCGGAAAGAGTTAGGCAATTTTTGAACATTTACGAATTTTTTAAAAAAAGAAATTCGTAATTTCTGTAGATGAATAGCAACGTCAGCAAGGGAAATGTTTTCAAAACCATCTTGTCTTCCGCTTTTAGAGAATATATAGTTTGCCTGGAGTCTGTTGAAAAAGTGCCTGGTGAAGAGTGTGGGTAGTAATTTCTGAATATTTACGAGTTTCTAGGATAGAATAATCCGTAACTTCTGAAGATGAACACCTTGTACGCCGCGACAATTACCATTGAAACCGTCTCGTCCTCCGCTTTTAGAAGATATATACTTTGCCTAATCCGCTAAAAAAAGTGCCTGAAGGGTGGGTGAGACTTTTATAATGGGGGTGCTCAAGTAGACGTCTTTTTACAATGGTAAAAAAGCCTATACTAGAGCACTCCCATTATAAAAGTCTCACCCACCCTTCACCCGGCACTTTTTATAACGGACCCCAGGCAGAGTATAAATTTTCTGAAAGCGGAGGACGAGACGGTTCCAACGGTGAGCATCACGGCGTACAAGGTGCTCATCTAAAGTTATGAATTTTTTTATGTTAAAAACTCGAAAATCTCCAGAAATCACGAGGACACCCTTCACCCAGGCACTTTTTCAACGGACTCCAGGCAAAGTATATATTTTTTTAAGTGGAGGGCAAGGCGGTTTCAATGGTGATTATCAAGGCGTATAAGATGTTCATCTACAAAATTTATTGATTTTTGTATGTTAAAAACTCGAATATTCCCAAAAATCACTAGGCACACCTTTCACCGCACTTTCTTGAAAGGATCTCGGATATGCTATATGCTTTCTGAAAGCAGAGAACGATACGGTTCCAACGGTGACCATCTTGCCGTAAAAGATGTTCATCTACAAAAGTTATGAATTTTTTATGTTAAAAGCTCCAAAATGTCCAGAAATCGCTACTCACACCCGTCACCAAGCACTTTCTTCAACAGACTCCTCCATTCTTGTACATAAACAATTCACGTACAAATATCTCCTTTTCAAGCTTACCTCACTGTTGATTTTTTCTCGGCTTTGGTGAAAGGGGTCACCTTGGTCCCGGTTCAGGGGTGAGGAGGGGGTGAGAAAATTCTCACACTATCGCACCAGCTTCGCCCGCATAGAGTAGAGAATCCCTACTCTATAGCGGGCGGGGCTTTGCCGACGTTTGCCAGCATATGAGCGTGGCAGTTTTTAGTAGCTAGAGAGTAAAAAAAGTAATGCTTTAGAATGGAGGTTCAACAAGTTTTTCTACGTGTTCAAATGTCTGCAGGGCCACGCCCGCTATACGCATGGGAAACGCCTATATCTTGCACAGTGGGCCTACCAGACAATTTTGACTGGCATCATGTCGCTGACATCATTATCACCTCAATAACGACCTCCCCCTCTTCTTTATCTTTATCTTTATCTATTACACTCGAAGTGCACAAAAAAAAAGAAAAAAAAACGAGTAAAAGCACAGACCAGCCTAGCCACACTGTATAGAAAGTAGTAAATAAGAATATTGTTACACTCAAAAACCTCAGACCCATTGGACGGTATAAGACGGAACAGATCTATACTGCATAAGGGCAATACATAAATTTTAAACGTTATCAAGGCTCCAATCTGAGGGCATTCTTGGAGGTATCACATTAAGCTCAATATAACGGAGTATGATGGGATGTGACCCATCACTTTCGAGTGGTACGCTTTGACGGATAGTACCTAGGCGATATGGCGAAATCCATGCTACCTAGGACTGTTTCAACTACCCGACGCCCCCACTACCTTCGTGTTGAGCGGCGTGCAATAATTCAACAAGAATGCAAGATCAGAGAAATTGACAACGTAGAAGAAGTAATATTGCAGTAAGATTCCATTTGTAGGTCTAGATAAGTATTATGTGGAATAGATATTGCCTTTACACCAAGTATCGAAATAGTCATAGGTATGGATGAACGTTTTGAGTGTAAGTTGAGTCATCCATACAGAAAAGGATGCAAAGTTTTTGAGGATGAGGTAGTAGTATGTGAAAAAAAGAAGGTACAGTGTGATTGGCTGGTATAAGAGCGGTTGTTAGTATGTTGTATCATCAAACACATGTACGATAGAAATGAAGGTCGAGACATTAGAAAATAAGTCGCAAGACTGACTAGTGGCAATCTAATTTCTTGTGTCGACCGATAGTTTCTTGTGTAGACCGATAGTTTCTCGTGACGACCGATAATGGGGAAGTTGTCTCATATTGGATCCAATAAATCAGAAAGCCAGAATAAATATGCAGAACACAATAAGCACCGGAGAAACAGAACCTGAAAAAAAACAGCAACAGCGAAATAAAGCGAAAATCAAATGAATAAAAAAAACCATTTCAACCAAAAATCAAGATAAAATTCCATAGCTCAACCCTGAAAAAAAAGTTAGAACGAAAAAAGTTAGGAAGGATATAATTCACAACCAAAAAGTTCAGAGAAATCAATATTTGACAAAGCTTTTTTGAATGAGTGGCTTGTTTTTACAGCTAAGAGTTTTGTAGGTAATCTGCGAAACCACCGAAAATATCTTCTTAACCCCTCTACGATCCCCTCCCCCCCCCTCCCCCCAGATGTGGGGTGCCGCCCTCACGCTTAACCCTGGTTATCATACGATTAAATGTGTTCAAATTCTTGATTTGGTGGGTAATTCAAACAATGCGCAGGTACTTTCAAAGTCTTATTTTCACGACAGTGGCAAACCATGAGATAGCTTGAGACGAAACTCTCAGCATGCATAAAACAAACGAATCAGTGCGTTTGGGTAAGGCAATGTTAGCATGTTATTGCAAGCATGGAGAAGGAAGAGTGTAGAATTCACTGCCCCTTTGTTTTGCCATTACGAAAGAATTCTGAAAGGCACCTCGGTGCATTCAAGTTTATGGTCTACTTTAGTGGCTGCGGCACAAATGGACTAGTCCGATTGATTCCGCAGTCTTTTTACTTGCATGCTCATTTCTCGGCGCATTCTCCATTCCACAGTTTCCTATTGGCGTAGAAATGGGTGTTGAAACAACGTTCCCAGTCTACGAGGCGACCTCCTCTGGCCTCTTAGTGTTGAGTGGGTAAGAGAATCATTTTAGGAGTTTGTCTGCGTTAACCTGTTCAAGTTCTATCATTATAGGCAAATGTGGATGTTTGTGATGTATTTCGTATTTGAAAAAGCCAAAAATCTAGATCTTTGTTATAATTACTCGAAGTCGTCAGCGTCCAGGAATTGGCAGTGTTTGTTTTTATTTGTTTTAGAGAAAATTTGTTTTGTAGAACCAATCGATTAGATATTTTGTTTTTAGTGAATCTTGACATCTGGTGTGCATTGGCAGTGGTTGCAACGATTTTCTCATTCGCAGCAAATCCAAGGTAAGTTTGCCATCTTCTGAGACATAGTGTCAAAAGCCATGTATTATGTTAATCTTGTATAGTTGCTAAATGAGTGGATCACATGTTTTGATAAACTACAGGCTCCCTATTGCATTTAGTATCAACAAAGAAAGTGCGTTGAAAGCTTTCGCAGTTTGCTTCTTTCGAGTGCCTTTCTTTGTAGGAAATCAGCGCTAGAGCCTCCTAGTCTGCGCACGCTTAAAAGATACTGCGATAACGCTATATCCAATGAAAAGTAGCGTAAGGCCCCGGTCAGACTTCACGCGATTTAATCGTCGCGATCTAATCGTCAAGATTTCCATTCATTTTCATCTCACATTCAAAAGTTTCGGGCTGGGAAAGTATCACAACCGAATGCAAGTTGATTGGCATGAAATGATGTTGTAACAGTTGTCTCGTCGCGATTCAGTCGCGACGATCAAATCGCGTGAAGTCTGCCCGGGGCCTAAGGCAGAGGAGTTTGAAGAATCTACAACAAGCGTTTTGCGGCTTTTTTGAAATGTTGTAGCCCAACAGTTACTTTTCCTTCAATAGCCATGCGTCACAAGTTTAGAAACTGACTTTTCCAAGCAATGCTCCGCAGACATGAGCAGAAATAGATAAAATGTCCTATTGTCGCGCAAATCATGAACGTAAATTGTACGAATTTGGCTGTCATCATCTAGCACCCGAGACATCGTAAAATGTGCTATGAATACTTGAGAGTTACTAGGGAAGGATTCCAGATTGCAGTGGCGATTTGGAACGAAATTGTTAGACGCGTCCTGGTGAGTTGAATTTAAATCTTCTCTCCGTATCTGCTGAGGATTGTATGGAAGAAGTTATGAGCATTCGAAAGTTCACACATAACTTACAGTCTTGTTCAAAAGCAAATATTTGTTTCTGTTGATGCGCGCATTTCTTGCAGTCAGCACACTTAACACCTTCCAATCATGCGCTCCCAAGTTGGATTTCAGTGCACTTTATGCATTGGGAACCTAATAACTTCACGGCTTCAGCCGCTCATGCTCCTTTTAAAGAGTCCCGCAGCAGATATGGAAGATAGATTTGAAAGCAACTCATCATAGCACATCTACCGATATGCATTTCGTTCGGACACCGCTTTCTTATTTAAACGATCTTAAAGGCAGTGGATCGGCAAAATTCAACAAGTCAGGACTTTAACGCGATAGGTTCCTTATCGCCCAAGCATGAAAACAGTGCAATCCTGGTTGCACAGCATGCCTTCCCTGCCGAGAAAATGGCTCTTAAACTTATACACGCAGGCCAATCTTACACGCTCCCGAACGAGTTGGCAATTTCCTCCTCACCATTGTAGGCTGCCCGCGGCAATGCTTTAACCATTGGGTCCCGCAACGATCTAGCCTCATCAGCCATGCTGCACTCTTCCAATTGCGAAGGGAAGGGCATTGAAAAACACTCGTTTTCGCCGTTTTTAAGCTCGCAGAAGTGGATTTTCGAAATCAGCGTATTGAATAAGGTAAGCGAAAATTTGACTAGGTTGAGATTTGCCGAGCCACTGCCTTTAACCTACCTGTTTCCCTTCAATTGGTAGTTTTACGAATCAGGCAGATTACTATAAAATGCTTATCGCTTATTCGGCGTTTATTTTTCTCATTCTGGTGCACTCATCGTCTTGAAGCTTATTTCTACTTGTTCAAAAAATCCTGTTATGGGGAGAACTTCCGCTTGGAGCTGTTTCAATAAAAATTGTTTCTGGGCATTATGCGAAGATACCTCGTTGCAGCATAACTACGAACAAGTTTTTAGTCCTATTTGCGTTACCTGCCGTTCCTTCTAAAGCGGTATCATTTTCCCGTCAGGGTGAATTAATTTGAATGATTTTCTTTCTCCCCTTTCCTGATCATTGCGCCTAAAGTCGCATTACATTGACATTCCTATATCAACGAGATTTTTGTAACTCGGACTTTTGTATGACTGTATCTTAATCAGTAATCGTTTAAAACGGGAAAATTCTAGGAATTAAAAGTGTTCTCTGAACCTTGTATAGTAGTGTATGATTATTATTTATTTTTATCTAACGCTTCTCTAGCATCTTTGTAGCATTCTTGTCAGTCCTCCGAGCCTCTTCAAACTTTGCAAATAAATGTCATAGAATTATGGAACCATTAGTAACTGCTATTTTGTAAGAAAATGCTTGGTCCCCGCTACTTCACAGGTTTGGGGTATTGTGTTCGTGACTGTGATGTTACGAACTTGATTAGTTAATTTGGTTAAATAGTTTATTTTGGTACTTGCAATATTCCCTCGCGGGGTTTGCTACTCTTTGTCTCAATTTCGTTACTTTTACGGCATTACGTATCAGAGAACGACAAAGACTGTCAAATACACGTTATACAGTATGTGTCAATTACGTATTCCCTTTCGCGTAGGAAGTACTCACTCGCAAGGCGAGAGACTTGCTTGCGGACCTGCAATTGTTAAGATCAATTCGAAAGCCAAAGCCATACGCGCGCCCTGGCGTGGCGATTGGCTCACAGAAAAAGGACCAGGCGATTGACACCGACTGTACATAACACGAAATGTGACAGTACTTAATCATGTAATTATCTGTTCTATTCTTCTACTATTGTGAGTGTCCCCTCCATTTTACGCAATCGTCAGCTTGATCTTCATTTAATTCGAGTCCCCTTATGTGTTAACGCAACCCATCCATCTCAGCTTCGGTTCTCTTCTTGGTCCTTTTCCAAGAACTTTCACAGACGCCAATCTAGCGACGTAATCTTCTTTTCTTTCCCATATGTCTACCAATGGAGTCGCTTCTCTTGTAACTTTTGACAATTGGATCAACTTTCATTGTGGTTCTCTTTTAGATATCGTTGGTAATATGTTCCATCATAGTGGCGTCTATCGTCCACCTTACAAGGGAACGATACTTGGTGTCCGTGGCCTTTTGAGATGAGATGTATACCATTACACTCGTCTTGGAGCGCTGATTTCGAATCTTGCTGTGATGGTAGACGTTTCCTCCCGAAAGCCCATGGAAACAGAGTATCGTTCCCTTGTTAGCAGTGTGACAAAAGCGTTATTTATTCTCATAAAATTCTTGCACACTTTCTCATCTTGCACCATTTTGCGATCATAGACCAACACTGGTTGAGCATCGCTCGCTTCACATAGTTTTCATCAACATGGAAAGCAAAATCATATCCTTCCTGTGATTATCGCACCAGATAATTCCAAAACTGACTATAGTCACATACGATCCAACAAGGTTTTTTTCTTATAAATATAATCGGCCCGCAGGTTCATGTAGTGCGGAGACATCGTAGCTCACTTGGCAGTTTGTGATAGTGACAGAGTTCGAAAAGCCAAGTTACAACGAGGTTCATCAAGTTTATCCACGTCATCAACAGCTCGCAATGACCCGCCTCTCTATAAATCTAGGAGCCGATCATGATTATATTTTTCAAATCACAAAATTTGATCGAAAAAGGCAGAATTACAGCAAACGCTATGACCATAACGCTGATGATTACTCTTCTGGAATTATCATAAGGCTGCGTTCATACTGATTTCGTAATCCGAGAACAGTCTCAGCACAACGCTAACTTTGAGCGCTGTGCTGGAACTGTTCCCGAACTTCGGGATCAGTATGAACGTAGCCTAAGTGGGCTCGCGGCTCATCAAAAACTCATTGAGCGAAACACACAAATTATTGTCATTGTCTCAAGCATTACAATTTGCCTTTCAGATATAAAAGGATGCAATACGAGAAGAGCGCATTGAGACAAATAAGCCAGCTGACATCTGACTTTGGTCGAGCTTTCGAAATGAACTCTGAGAAGCCTCTTGCGGTAATCTCAAAAGATATGAGCTTCAAAGATGGTTTTGAGGCAAAAGAACGTGACATACAAACGCATAATTGAACTTGGAATGCATGAGTATTGCGTACGTTGTTATTTATCTGTAACTTACGAGCAATGCTTTCTTTAATCATGATTCTACTCATATTTTGCAAATGCTGATTTTGGAATGTATCTCATTGATATAATTCATATTAAACGTTGCATTCCTAATTAAAGACCCGAACAGGCTACTTTTCCTTCCGGTAATTTGATTTTTATTCATAAGTAGGATTCGCATGTAATGATTTTTCTGTAATTTGCTTTGGCACTGTACTTTGCATTCATGACATCTCATCTTTGACCATTTACTCATTCTCCTTTATAGCAGATTCAAAGCCAATACGTGGTGCTTTTCTGATTGCATGTTTCAAATAAATAAAGCTATGTCACTATAAGCATGAAACAACAGTTCATTGATATACGAGGCAACCTATTGTTGAGAGCAGCGACCACCCCTGAATAATAGCCAAAATAGACGGCAACTGAATATAAAATATTTATTAAATTGACTATTGTGTCGTTGACATATGAAATGGTAATTGTTTGATTTTTGCGGCATCTCTCACAAGCCTGAAAAATAGCTCTTGTACTTTACGTTTGCTTCATGTCATGTAATTCTATAGCGACAGTCAAGAAAACGATCATATTCTTTAAAATTAATTAGGCAAGGTCGAAAGAAATGGATCATATACAAACCAAGAAGATGCACAGTCTGTCCATGCACTCCAAGACATTTTTTGCAAGGGAATTGATATATTTTTCATCATGAAATTACTTCTAATCATGAATGGCACACTCAATTTTTTTAGTCGTGCAAGAAAACCACAAATTCGGCTTTTTTAAATTTTACGGTATGAGGCATTGCAATCGACATAAGCGTTCAGGACTAATCCTTCTCTTCTAACTAATGCTGACACCGTCATTATGAAAATACTATATTGGACGGCTGAATTGGATCTGTTTCAACACACAATTGATAGCCTTCCTGTGAAAAGTGAGTTGCATTGCAGCTTACTCAGATAATTAGACCCCAAGTACCAAACCCTTTGCTTTGTATGCATGACGATCTTGGCTTTAAAGCCGCTAGCGTGAACATCCCCGTTGGGAAGAGAGGAGCAGAGCCAAAAAAATTCTTTATATGTTGAGACTAGATAGGCTTCAGAGATATGCATTTCACCCTTTTTATTCCTCTTCGAGTTCTTGCTATCCTTTACTATAGACGTATTCAACAAAAGCTTAGTGCCATGTAAGTCGCATTCTAGGTTCTTATATGGTCTCCCGATGCCCCGACGGCCATTTTCTCAAAATCATTGACCCTTCTTTGGAATTGGTGAAAAACTGGACCTATGCTGCTTATCTAATTTGATAATGCTAACCATGGTACTAATAGAAACAAATTAGGATACAAAGTGATAAACTGACTAACTTCACTCAAAAGCTACTGCATGACGAAGACACAAAAGCAGGACTAGTTCTCAGATAATCATCGGGGGCAGGCGGCCATGCGATTTATGTGCAGGCGGGCACCAGAAAAATAGTTCGCTGATTTCTTGCGGTCGGCTTGCAGATATTTGGAAGAATTTTGGCGAAATTTTAGATGAATGCTCGGAGAACAATTGCGGCTTTTTCATAGATTAGTTGCGGCGCAGAGGCCGCATTCCCGCGGACCTTCCGCGAGATGTGCAAAATTATGGAGGCCGCACGATCCTTTGTGAAAGACCGCACGGCACGCAGGTACCTTCAGCTGAGAGAAAGTAACCCAAACTCGGATAATTGAGCCATCGACGACACCTCTGTTATGTAGAGTGTTATCTTTGCTCGGCGTACGCACGAAACTGCATAAAAAGAGTCCGAGCGCCTGTCAAAAGTTTGGCCTGCGCTCGCTGAAAGAGAATATTTGACGAGCGCTTGCAGGAAATTTGTATTGCTTCCCGCTGGCAGAGCACGGCAGTACCGCTCGCAGAAAGTTTGGCCACGCTCCAAAATTTTGCTGACCACTTGTAGAAAAGTGCGAGTTTGCGAACCGCCTGCCTCCGGCGATTATCTGAGTTGACGCGACGTGCGCGTATATTCTTGTAATTCCTGCGCCTCATGCGCTCTGCCGCTAAAAGCCGCGTTCGCGCCCAAGATACTGCGCCTTCGTCATGCAGCAGCGTATAACTATACAAAAATGGAAATCAAATAATTTGATTTTCCGAAAATTTAAGCCTCTTATCAACACGATTAGCACTGCTGGATAACATACCAACACAATCATGTAATAACTTCATTGACCTAAAGGAAGTAAAATGATTTGAAGAAAAGACGGAAAAGGCTTTTCCCCGCTGGAGGGAATTGGAGGGAAAAATCTAACCAAGGCATAGTTTTTGTATCATGAAAATTATGGATCTTATCGGCGAGTGTAAAAGGCAAAAACTTAAAAAAAACTATCGTCGGCCCGTTGAACGGCACCGACTATTTAACGCTGCAGACCACGTGCGGCGGCTGAAAGTTGCGAAAGCACGGCTTTTACAATTGCGAATTTGTATTGGGGAACGCGTTTTACCTCGCGGCGAGTGTTCCGCAGTGACGTCCAGTCAGTGCGTCAACGAACCGAACATAAGTCACCTTTGTCCCTTCTTGCTATTCTTCTTCTTCTTCCTCCTCCTCCCTTTCCTCCACCTCCACAGATTCTTCATCATCACTTAGATCCTCATAATAAAGTTCTACGCGATCGATTACTTGCATGTCATTTTGGCATTCTTGACAGTATCGTCGTAAACAGAAACATTTGATGCAGTAAAATGCACCACATGCTACACAGAGACGCGTGTTTCTGCAACAATTCAATAAGGAAAAGGATTGTTTCTTGAGCGGGTTCTCTCATGAAGCCTTACGTTATGAATAAGTTGGAGTCGAACTAGTCAACTGTTCAACGTTAAAATGCAATCAAATGCAAGGTACGTACGCCTGATCAGCTAAGCGAAGATCCTGTTGGTTGCAAACGCTGCAATTCACACGGATGAACCCTCTCGACTGCAAGCCTCGACGAACAACTGTTTCACGACCTTCCATCTGATCGTCAGCTAATTTCTTCTGCAAAAAGAGCTTTTGATTGTTGCTGGCTTTTATCAGACCGACCTTCTGCTCCTTCATCATATCCCCGAGCAGGTTTTTGCGGTCTTGTAAGATCTTATTGTATAGATTAAGAGCCCTTGGTCTCACTCTATCAGGGAAGAAGTGATCAGCCAATGCCAAGGATTGCCGTGACATCCACACCTAATGATCATAATTTGTTAAGGTTGGTTTTTCATGAATAAAAGGAAACAAAACCTGAAAGCGACAGAGAAACAGCGCTGCAAAGAACATCCCGATAATGCCGTACAGTGTGAAAGCATCTGGAGGATTGGGTTCCACAAAGCACTTTCTCCATCTGAGTTTCTATCATTTATCAAACTAAGGGTATCTCGTGTAGGCTTTTAACTCAAGTTTTAATTTTCACCTCAAAGCTTTTTATCAGAACTACGTCAATTTCCTGAAGATTAATTTGATCTCGGCAATCTGCCTGCTAACCTCAGTATAAAATTCGTAATGGGTGAAAGTAGTGGGTCGTTTTATCGAGAAAGTGCCTTTTTTCCAACAATGAGGAGAGTCCCGTATTTTTTTTAGTGATATTTCACCTTTCATCCCTTTCTTTGATTCCTGTTGTCAATGGCGAGAAAGTGTTTTGTACGGTCCTCATTAGCTCAGCAGCTTGGCCCTTTCCAGAAACCTCAAGACAGAAATTTGCTACATGAAATAATCCATCCGCATTGGTACCTTTACTTCGTAGTGGGAAGGATACTCAATATTGATTAGACCCGTAAAGTAAAACACGTTGGATAGAACCTATAAGCGATTTTTTGAAGAGACGACTTCCCAAAAGCTGCCTATCATTAGAATGAACGATTTACCATATATACTGCCTGATCCATACAAACGAAGCAAAATGGTGTAGCACTCATTATCAATGTTACAACTATTCGCAAATGGTAGAATGTTTTTTCACGTGCGGTCATTTTCCAAGAAGATCTTGGGATGTACTGAAAAAAACATTGCATGTTGCAATCAAGAATTAGGGAGCTCATTATGTTGACTTATAACGTAAGGTCACATACTAGCACCTACCAGCTGCTTTTCGTTTTTGTTTAGTGGTAGCGCTTTAGTTCTGCCTTTCAAGAGCATATCCAAGTCAATTCTTTCAAACTCCTCTGTCAAATAATGATTTTGATACTCTTCGCGGTAGTTGAACTTGAATGTGAACAAAGCTGTCTAAAGCGTCATAAGGCAGATGTGCATTGAGAAGAAATCACTCACCGAAATGAATGGCCAGAACAAAGTGATAGGAATGAAGATCCATTTGATGACATTATGCATTGTTTCAAACAAGAGGATGTAACCACGAATCACTTGTAGAAGGCTTTTTTGAAGTTGCTGCAATGCGCTAGGCACTGAATAAGAGTACATCACTTTTCGTTCATCCTTTACTATCATAAGAGTGTACACCAGTTGTAAGTCCTTATCAATGCCAAAGAATCGGAGAGTGAAAGTCAAGCTCAAAGGCATCTTCAGTACGAAGCAATATCACTGTCTGAAAAGCAGTCATGCTGTTGTCTTCCGTATGTCCACCTTAGATCCTTGGAAAAAGAAAAGCGGCAAATACAATCTGCTGCTGGGTTGAAAAGCAGTGTCCCACCAAAATCGAAGTTGCGCGGATTTCCACATATTCTATCTATATCTATATAAAACTCAATGTCTGTGAGGATGTTCGTTTAATTGTTCGTTCGTTATAGAAACGCGCGCCACTGAACCGATCCGGCTGAAACTTCGCACACGTATATTTTCGACACCGGCGGTGGTTTAGAGCTACTTTCCGCTGCGATTCGCCGGGCCAATCTATCGATTTATTGATTTGTTTACTCAAACCTAAGAAAATGAAGGGCCATCATGGCATCCGATCATTTTTACATATAAGCATGTAAGCAGGGGCGGTAAAGTCCATTTCAGTCTTAAAGTTGGTAAGGTGCGGCAATTAGCCTGAAAGCGCTTTATGCGCATGTTAGAAGAAATCTAGAGGCGTAAGTTTACAAGCTCTTTTGGCTCTATCTTGAAGTCACGGGTGACACCGGGGCCAGCAGCTAGTACTACTAGGCCCATCATATAGGCCACTGCAACAAGTCCGACTCGATTTGACCCCCTAAGTTGAAAAAAATGCGCTTAGTCGCACCGAACGATTTGGTTCGCATGGCCGACTTCTCTGGTCCCCTCTTACGCATCTTGAGAGGTCCTTCCATGTGACCTTACCTCCATATCGTTGCTGCTACTTTGGCAGAGGCTGGGATGACAAGGCCAGCTCGTCAGCGTTGTTATCTTGCTACCTTTGAAAATCGGGATTTTGCCGCATTTTATGCGATTTCAAACCCTTTTATGCTCAGGCCGAGTCGGAATCGCCTGTGATGTGCAAAGATCCTTGCAACAAAATTTTGCTGAGGCACTACCCTTGAGCGATATCTTACGCAAAAGACTGTTGGAGAAAGAATCAGAATAAAAAGCACGATGGCTGAACTGTGATGTGAATGAGCAGTACTAATGGAACGGACTGTCAGCGACAAGCCGTTATTTTCAAAAACTGGATCTTTCATGTGACAGGCTTTTTTTGCCTTAGGTTGATTTTTCTAATCAGGTTACATCAAAAAGTGGCCACGTTGCCGTTACAGTTGCGCAATCGCAGGTCTGAAAAGGCAAACGCAGACTGGGATCAGAATCTATAGCTGCATTCAACGGTGAGCCCAATGCATTGCAAGTCGCCATATTCTACACTCATATCAATCATAAGTGTGAACTGGGTTTGTCAATTTTTTAGTTGAGTTCACCGTCTCTGGACTTTCCGCTGAATTCTATCCACGATAGATAGTTACCGGTTCTTGTAATTTCTATGCTAAGTTTCCTTAGAAGTAGCGTTTTGGTAAAGTGGAGTGCTGGGGTTTGTAGCAGTACAAAAATACAGCTACTCAAACAAAGACTGAACTCAAAACGAGAAAGAAGGACACCAAAGTTCAAAATTTGCTCCGAGAGCGGCCCAAATACCACTTTCGGCGCCGATGACACCCACACAGCGATTAAAACTATAATTCACAGCGCTCATACAGCACACAGTTATCACCCTGAGGTCCTAAAACAATTCTGCGATTCCAGCCTTGGCGAGCTCTGCTCGAAATCCGAAACTAAAAGGAAGCTTCCTTAAAAGTCCGTTTTCGACATCGTTCTTTCCAAGCCCTATTTTTGGTATCAGCAAGAGGATAAGCCCAGGTAGGCGTCAAATCTTTAGATAGAGACTTTGACGGGGCGGCGGGGCGCTGCCTTCGATCCACTTCGGTTCTCGACGAGGAATAACGAAGAAATAGAGAGCGGGACGCGAGGAGTTGAGATGCCCATACTTTGCGAGCACTTTCTACTTCATCCACAACGAAGTAGGAGAAGATAAAAAAACAGCACAATTTGATGCTGATATGAGTGGCTTCCTCATGCTCAACTATAAAAGCATCATCAGCACTGGCATCAAGTTGGGTGGAGGAGCTCCACTGATATAGCCGTAATCATGAAGACATATGTAAAAAAAAAGATATGGATATGTAAAATTAAGAACAAGTTTTGCTCAGCCCTTTGCCAGTCACAAATATAAAAATTTTCTTATGTATAGACCTTCTGAAATGTGTTTAGAGCTCATGCCACACCAGTCAGCTTAGTACAAGCGAATGACTTTCTCAACCAAGCTGTGAAAGACCAATATAGCATGTCCGATTTACTGCAAAAACTTAGATGTCTGTTAATCTCATTTGAGCACAGTGCAGAGACTATACAGGCTTACTTTGTGCACAGTCAGATCTTCAGCTCCTTCTTCTGCAGCTTTGTAATGAATTTTCATATGCCGTATGTCCGAAATCTCTTTTTTTGCAGCTTTTGCTCCCTTGATGATCTTAAATAGGTGCGATTTTTTTCTTGGGAAACAATCCAAGTCCGACCTTTTGGGCAGTTTCAATATGGAAGAACAGCGCGTTTTCAGCACCTTCCGTCCCCACACCGATTGCCTTTTTCATGAGATAGAAGTAGCCGTTTTTTATTACTAAAAGATTTTTACAAAGGTTTTACATAAGATAAGTCGGCCAGACCTCAACGCAGATATGATTTTCATATATTTCATAAGACATACCTCCTTTAGCAACCGATGGAAAGTTGCATATGCTTTCTTCAACTCTTTCGCCTACCATATCGCATATCTTAACGAGGGTCTTGTGATTTGGCGGTGAAAATGCTTGGTGCATGTATAATTGAGTTCTTTGTTCTACTATTCTGTTGCAAAGATTATCATGAATACCCCTTAGCGGTGAGCGCGTGAAATAAAGGAGAAGGCGTTGGGGGGGGGGAGGGGAGGGGAGAGCGGCAGACTCTCAACGTCTTCTCTTCCCCGTGCCTACCTGACCACGGGGACCAATCCCTGTCAACGACGAGTAAACTGTTCCGTCAGATGAAGCAACGCACCGGGATTGTACGAATGGGTCATGTCACATTCACAAACTATTATATTTTTTAGAAAAGCTGCTAGGGCGTTCGCAAGCGACGCTCGCCATTAGCCGCATAACGACGAATACTGAGTTAGGCTACCCCTAAGGACAATATATGCATCTTGAACGTTATCAAAGCTCTCATCAGAAGCTCTCATCTCCTGTCTCCCTGAGGCAGGCTAAACAAGCGAGTTTAGAAAGATCAAACTGAAAAAGTTGAAATAGTCCTAGGTTGCCATATCGTCTAAGTACTACGCCAAAGCGTACCACTCGAGAGTGATGAGTCATATCCTATCATACCCCGTTATTTTGAACTTACATGTAATTTCTCGAAGAATGCTTCTGATGAGAGCTTTGATAACGTTCAAGATGCATATATTGTCCTTATGCAGAATAGATTGGTTCCGTCTTATACCGTCGAATGGATCTGAGGTTTTTAAGTGCAATAATATGGTCTGTGCTTTCACTCACTATTTTGTTTTGGTGCGTCTCGAGTGTTATAGCGCCGATCAACATAGATAACGAACCGTAGTCGAGAGTCACATGATAGACTGAAGAAGCGGCGCAGCGACATTGCATGTGCACAAGAAACAAAATGAAAGGAAACGCAGATCAAGGACATCGGCGAGGGACACCGTTTTTACTACACTGAATGCAACAACCATCAAACGGAATAGCGACCACCACCAGCGGTAAATGCAGCGTGTCAGCATGGGTTGAAAATGACGCCGACGTTCCTACTGACAGCATAGTGCTTCCGTTGTGTCCGCTCAAAAAAGTTCTATTCAACAACTTCTCTTCCGGGATATCGTGTTGTCTCAGTGCCATGAGATCAATCGTGTGGTATTCGATCAAATGCCGTTTCTGAATTAAAAATGCGAAGTGAATTGGATTCCGCTTCTCCCAATGGCGTTCCATTAGTAGTCCTACGACATGGATGGCGTAGAAGAGTGACGAAGTCACCTCGCTTGTTCCATCATCCTCCCTTCAGCAGGTATATCGTATAATCTTTTAGTTTTACCGGTTGGACAACTTTTTTCAGTTCCTGCACATTCTGTCTCCAACGAGGTACCAGCATGTGTTAGCGCTTGAGGCTGGGGTAAAGGGTGCGGAAACTCTTCACTGCGTAGGCTTTCGACTATAGCTCCATCATCTATTGCCTTCAGTTTTGTCAAGAATTTGCACTCCGTATTTTGGATGTGCATAACGTGGTCAATGTCCTTTTTCGCTCGATGCCGGGCAGCGGACGGTTGGAAGATCTTGTTAGCACCAACAAGCCTTCCAGCTCGTCGTGACTTCTTGTGGTGTGCTTCCTTTGCCTCCGTTACCGCACTGTTCGCTTTTAGGTTTGATTCTTGATATCGACGGAAAGCATACTTTGAAAGCGTTTCCAGAGCTGTAGGTTTCTTCTTTCTAGTTACTCGCTAGATTGGCTCGGACCTTTGCTTGCCGAGCAGGCGCTCTAAATTCCGAAACTTCCTTCACCCTCGATTGTATCTGTGAAATAATCCGGCTCTATTGGTTTTGGTCGTTCTCCATTATGTCAAACTCCAGGGCGTCGAAAGCTTCTTTAACCTGCTGACGATGTTTGATAGCCTCCAACACTTGATGTTTTGTCGTCCTCCTTCTAGCTCATGGATGCAAGCGGGTGGCATGATCTAACCAGGCGGCGTTGTGAGATGCATGTGTCTCTATAAGTATGAATGCAGCGTTTACATCCATCGGAAGTGGCACCGGCGCAGCATCCAGCAGTCGATCTAAATTGAGCGGTTTTCACCCTCACACGTCGAGTAATGTGGTTTCCATTCTCTGAAGAATGTGTTCGCTATAGCTATAGGGGCCTGCATGATCGCGAGAGTCGGACGTGCGTACGGCCATTGCGCCGGGCACGTCCGTTTCACTAAGGCAAGTGCCAGACTTATCCGCTTCAACGGGTTCGTTCTGTTCATAGTTCAAATCATTGCACTGTCCAACAGCAAAGGTGGTGAACCGAATGAACTTTTTGAACAGGATTCCGACCCTCGCGATCATGCAGGCCCCTATAACTTGTGTTCGGCAACTTCTGAGACGCGTGAGGGGTAGCATGGCACTACTCGGATAGTGACGTCCTCTGCTTTAATCGCCATCACTCTGTACGCGTTACTAAATTGGACGAGCTAGCAAGCGGATCGAGAGTGGAGCTAAAAGAGGCAACCGTTGTAGGAACGCAAACTACCACCACTGCGCCATTGGCTGCGCCCGACAGCCCGCCGTTTCTGCGAGTATAAAAGGAAAGTAACCCAGCCTCCAGGAGAGTACTCACACTTCCGCCGCCAGCTTCTAATGGCGCCGCTGCACCTCGATCAACCGACCCTCAATTCCCCTCTCCCTCATTTTCCTGTTCGCTGTTTTATATCCTTTATGGAACGTTTAAGCCCATGTACTCTCCTCACTCCTCTCGAGATCATGTACCTTTTATTTATCGTACTATTATTACTACTATTATTTACTCATCATTCACTACTCTCACCTACCTGTTTTACTTACGCCTATACATCTGTTCTTTTGTACTGCCTCTATGTAACCATTTTCTATAAACGTTATGTCATAAGCATAATTAGGACCATCCATGTTTGGTGGAGAAGGGAGAACCTAGAAAGAGAGAGAGAGAGAGAGAGAGAGAGAGAAAAAGAGAGAGTCAAACTGGTTCTGCATTAATGGACAAAGTTCCAATGAACCAAAATCTTCAAAATATTACACCATGAGATGGAAGATGCGTCTCGGGTATGGCTTGCGATTGAACGTTGGAGAGACTAAGTACCGAGAATGCGGAGAGCGAATCAACGGAACAATCAGCATTGATGGAGATTCACTCAAGAAAGTCATCACTTCAGTGCGTGGGCTTCAGAGTAACGTGGGATGCGAAACGATCACTGTTCTAAAACGAAGCGGGCTTGGCCGAAATGGCATCAAGTGAAAGGAGTATTCTGTGATGATCGCCGATTCTCAGTGCACCTCAAATCAGAAGTTTGTCAGATAACGGTGTGACCAGAGTCCTACTCGGAGCAGAGTACTGAGCAACGATTAAGAAGCACGAGCTCTTGAATGCATTGGAGACACGCATGACAAGTTGAATGATTGGCATTACGCAAAAGTGCGCACATTTTTAAAGTTGCTTCGATCGCGGAAAAAAGTGCACGGAGTGAGTTACGATGTCATCGCTTTGAAAACATGACATGATCATGTTTTCAAAGTGATGACAATTTATTAACACCTATGGCACTTTAACATGGAGGAGGACCTCGCGGTCGGTCGAAGCAACGTTGATTGAATTGGAAACACCTGCACGGCAAACCTCCCACTACTAGAAGCAACCGGTCGAATCAAGTGGAAATAACGATCGAACGCCGCCAGCTCTAAGCGCGGGGAACATTGACGAAAATAGAAGAGTTTGGGTGTAAGGAAGGGAGAGGGGGGGGGAGGGAGTGTTTCGAACACGTAAGTTGGAATGCGCAGACAGCTTGTTTTTTATGAATAGCAACATTTTTTATGATCTTACGAATGATGTTTTAGAAGAAAACTTCTTGGCCCCCTTCGAGCAATTTCCAATGTTTCCAATTTCCAAAAAAATCCCGTTAAGGAGTTTGACAGTGTGGCTGAAAGCATGCTTTTTCATCTAAAAAAGCTCTAGCCACGGCCGCTTTCATTTCCAGGAATTTTGACTCGCATTAGAGCGAAACATATCCTCAAACAACAACATATCCCTAATCAAGACTCCCAGGGGGGAGGGGGTGGAGGAAGCCGTTACGCATTTAACAGAGTCATTCATTTCAAAAAATTCAGTAAGGGGGTTATTAGTTGGTCAACGTCACAGCGTAGTACATGTGAGGTAGTAAGGATAGTCACACTGGCTACCGTCTAGTCTTGCACAATACAGTAACATCTAAGCATCCTACGATCCTCACCAAGTTGTATGATCAACGAAGCAAAACTTACGGAACTCGACTTCTTGATAGTTTCACAGCCTGGTAAGCTTATGAGATTGTCTCTTGAGACGCAAGCAATGAAAATCTTCTCGAAGACATTTTTACACTGAACAAGACCATTTTGAGTTTACTCTATGAACATTCCTGCAGCTTACAATAGCATATGGTTTCTTCAAAAGACTAGTGCAGATATTTGTCAAACCTGAGAGAGCGCGAAACTGTCTCCGTATTGCTTCAGCTATTCTAAAATTCGAAAACATGAATGTTTGGGTGCCATGGATTGTTTTTGCAGCGGCGGACAGGCAGAGTTGTGGGAGAGAAACTTCCAAAGGTATACAGTGAGTTTTCTAGGCACGTCAGTCTCTCCTACTTTTATGAATCAAATGGTTCATCCTTCTACCATCAACTCCAAGCAAATGTGTATTCTTTTCATCGCGCGAATTATTCAGAAGATATCAAAAAATGAAGTCATATTAAGAAGAGAGGGGTATATACCTTAACTTGGAGGCCAACTTTAGCGTTACGTCTACACCATGCCCTGTTTAGGGTCACCTGAAGCCAATACCCCTGGTTAGCAATATTCGTACCCATGCGGGTAGCAGATTATAAGTCTTAGGTGGGAAAGGAAGAGGGGCAGGAAACTTCCTCCCAGTACTGCTTCCATACCTTCTCAACTTTTGATCAATCTTGCGTAACATTGTTCGCAGTTTGTTGATGGGAGCGGCTATCTTGACCACCAATGATTGGATCTTGTTGGCGATCATCTGAAACCGATTAAGCAAGTCTGAATTAGTGTTTAGGCTTCTGATCTGACCATTACACTGTGTCTATGCTCTGATACCTATGGTAACCATTTCTAGAAATGTACAAAGCTGTAAACGTACGTACCTCTCTCACATCTCCTGCCCTTTCTTTTACGTCCAAAAGTGACGATGTGACATCTGCTTGCACGCAAGCAATGCCTTCAGTTACACGATAGATGTTATTAACTGCATTCATGGCGGGACCCTAAAGAATATGTTTGAGAAACTTGATCAAGAGTTTTGTTCAAATTAAGGCAGTCAATGACATTGTGCAAGCTTTGGACAACATAAAGGCAGCGTCCAGGCAAGATTCATCCACTCAGATTAGCACATAGTTGTAAAGAGGGGCCCACGAGCATCCAATCTGCGTTGGCCCGATCCTTTGACATGGCCTCTAAAAGGAGATACGGGCCTGTGATACGTATCACAAACCTCCCCTTCGTATCACAAACCACATCTGAGGACGAGTGCTCACGAAGGTGTGCAGTTGCATTGCAGGGTGCAGTGCAACTGCAATGCAACTGCACCCGTACAGACTCGTACCTATAGTTACAAATGGCTGCGAAGAGCGCGCCCCATGACCCAATGCAAATTTGACCGGCGCGCAGGGCGTTTGGTGTCGGAGCGTGCAACTCAGGCATACTTGTCTACTATTTGAGCTACTTAGGCTAACTAGCGAAGATCTTGATCAGTGACAGCTTATCTGTATAATGGAACGAGCTGGGGAGGATGTCACTGAGCCGGCGGCAACAAGCCAGCGATGAAAGACTAGGAATCGTACATGATTGATCTTTTTCTGTGAACTTCTTGCATGAAATCTCTTGTATGACCTTTTTCTACAGTAAGTTTTGTGCAGCAGGACCGTTTCTTGATGCTAAGGGTTGAAGAGCCTTGTATGAGTCCGTAGTTTTGCTTTTGCTTTTGTTTTTGAAGACCAATCTGGTTGCCTTGTTGCGCACTCGCGATAAGCAAATCAGAATCCACATCTCGTTCTCTATATTAAATGGACCGTATCCTCATGGTCCGAGGTTTTCTATAACAACCATGAAAGGTGAATTCTCCGTTCAACTACGCAGGCTTTCTTTCCATCTGTTGCAAAAATGTAGGTTAGAGAGGCCGGGTCTACACCATCGAAACTTCTGAAGAAAGTTTCTTCAATTCATTACACTGCATGCACATAATTTTGGTTATGACATCATGGAAAGCAGTTTTATCTTCAGTGCATCGCAATAGCTACCTGAGGAATGCGCTCAAATGAGGAGTGAGAGGCAAAGAAGCGAGAGGTGTCTGAACCACATATTTCTCACCAGTGCGTCACCTCTGCTTCGCAGAGGCTCGCACTGGCCCTACTTTATCTATGCCTTACTCATTCCCGCATAATAATTAGATTGAAACTCACCGCGCTCTGTAGGCTATTACGAATGATTCGTAAACAGCTACTCATTCCTAGAGGTTTTTCGAGTGAAATCGGTATTTTCGCGTGGATGAAATCTCTACCAAAAGAAAAAAAAATGCAAATTTGAATAAGTTTTTGAAATTTTCAAGGTTTCATAGTCGCCATAAGGACAATAAACATGGTGGGCTACATCTCTGTGCAAAAATCTTTTCAAATGATCAGGTAAAATCTCGAAAAATTGACCGTTTACACATCCAATGCTTTTTGGCGCCGTTTTCGTAAAGTAGTAGACTTTTCATCACTTTTTTAGACTAAAGTCCATGGCTTGCACATTAATTTGTCAAATATATCCATAACTCTGCAAAAAGTAGTACTACGGACCAAAATTTGCTGGACAAAAGCCAAGTGGATGCGTTTGACGCGCAATTTTCAACGGATCCACTCAACGGATCCGCTCATGCTTTTGTATAGTGAGCTTTCATGCTGGTAGGGTGCACTACGCAAAATTTGGGCTCAGGACGTTGGCTGGAACACGCGCTACGAATTTCGTAACGGACAGACACACACACAAAAAGACGTAAACAACCCTTAGCCCGTTATTATAAGTCACTAGCTGGCTTACCCGGCTCCGCCGTATCCGGACCAAACTTGGCACACATACACTTCGGGCCCCGGCGGGTGTCACAGTCCACTTTTCGTTATCGACCGATGTCGATTTTACCGATTTTTATCGTTTTCTCTGCAGAGTTCACCTACAGGGCTAGGAGTTGGCACAGGGGGGGGGAAGTGAGCATGGGGATTCCGAATACAATATTAGTTTTCAGAATTATCGATTACTTTTATTGATTTTATCGATTTTTTGTAAATTTTGACATGCGAGGCTGGGATTTTGCACAGGGGGGTAATCGAGCATGCTGATTACGAACACAATATTAGTTTTCAGGATCGTCCATAACTTTTATCCATTTTATCGATTTTTTTGTAAAGTTTGACCTGCGGGGCTGGGAGTTTGCACAAAGGGTAATCGAGCATGCTGATTACGAACACAATATTAGTTTTCAGGATCGTCCATAACTTTTATCCATTTTATCGATTTTTTTGTAAAGTTTGACCTGCGGGGCTGGGAGTTTGCACAAAGGGTAATCGAGCATGCAGATTACGAATACAATATTAGTTTTCGAGATCGTCCATTACTTTTATCGATTTTATCGATTTTTTGAAAATTTGAGCTAGGGGGCTGGAATTTGGCACAGGGGTGTAATCGAGCATGCTGATCACCCCCCTTGGGAATGATCAGCATGCTCGATTACCCCCCTGTGCCAACTCCCAGCCCCCTAGCTCAAACTTTGCAAAAAAATCGATAAAATCGATAAAAGTAATCGATAATCCTGAAAACCAATATTGTATTCGGAATCCCCATGCTCGATTACCCCCCTGTGCCAACTCCCAGCCCCGTAGGTGAACTCAGCAAAAAAATCGATAAAAATCGATAAAATCGATATCGATCGATGACGAAAAGTAGCCTATGACACCCGCCGGGGCCCGTAGTGTATGTGTGCCAAGTTTGGTCCGGATCGGTTCAGAAATGGAATTTTCTATTCGGAACATACGTACATACATACAGACAGACATACAGACAAACAGACATTCAGCTTTATATATAAGATGATAGGCCATACTTATGCTTTTGTACACTTATCCACCCATCTTTGAAATATGAATGAAGACTAAGTAGCGAAAAGTGAGTGGATCGTCATCGTCAGGTACATCTCAAGCCTAAGTAGTAAAGTAGAAAGCGCGACAGCGCCCGGAGGTACGTATGCCTACATACCTAACTAAGCTGCCGAAATTGATACACAGTGCTTTTCACGAACAGTTAAGCTCGAAATTCATCTGAACTTACAACGCTCACCCGCCTACTACCCATTGATAGAAAACTCGAGAACGCTTTGTATCTACAAGTTTTCTAAACATGCTCGAACTGATTTTATCCAAGTGGTCTATCATCAAAAATGAGATATGTCAAAAGTAGTATTGAAATTGAAGCGTTCTTGAGTTTCAGAGTGAATGATACTTACCTCTTGACACTTGGATCTGCAGCTTTCTTCTTCTTACGGCTGCCGTAGAAGAAACATGTTCGGTAGAAAGCCCCTCTCTGTTTAAGCACAAACAAATCTTACTTTCTGCTAAGTTCTTGAGGCACCTATTGATGAAAAATGATCTACATGGCAAGATACGAAAGCTGAATCATCGCACGTTAACAACCGCACTTGTTCTGGTGATTCTCCTGCAGAAAGGAGTCGTTTTTCCTTCAGTGTCACTTGTTTTGCGCTGAAAGTTATAGGGTGTGCGCCCTCAACCGCCAGGATTCCCGCGCGGAATACAGATTTGCACTGAGACATGGGGCGCGCTCTTCGCAGCCATTTGTAACTATAGGTACGAGTCCCGTACAGTGCAGCTCCTCAGGCTGGCATGCGATGGGGACGAGCAGTCCGCAACTCGTCCGCTCCTTGAAGAGAGGGTCCCCAAGAATCGGGTTTTTTGGGGGTTTTGAACATTTACACAGCTGTAATCAGGGCCAGAGAAAGGCCCCAGAATGGCAGAAACATGAGAGGCGAAATTTCGCCTGGACGCTGCCTATAACAGTTTAGTTTCTCCCAAATTTAATAAGCTTCAAGCTTGAACAAGCATGAAAGAAGTAATCAGTTGTTGATACGTGCCGCAAGCGTAGACTATGTTGTCTGCGTCGGTAACTTAAAGGCAGCGTCCAGGCTGGACCTATGGGGCTTTCACGTGGAAAGTGAGGCCCTAAATAAGACTCTACTCAAGCGTTAGCTCAGATAGGCACTCACGGCTAAAATATGGGCTCCAAACTACTTGTAACCGTATTCGCATAGATTCGTGGCGCTTTCTCGCGAGGATCCACGCGAAGCTGATGTGCCGAGCCATGAATCCATGCGAATACGGTCACGGGGCATAGTTTGCAGCCCAATATTTTAGTCGCGTGTGTACTATCTGAGCTGCCGCTCAAGCAGAGTCTTATTCAGGGCCTCAAGATTACTTTCCACGTGAGAGCCTCATAGGTCCAGATTTGTCTGGACGCAGCCTTTGATTATACCTCAAACGACATTGATATCATGAGAAGCAGGAGTAAGGTTCGTATCTTTGTGCTGATCATTCTATGCACAGCTAGCATAAAATAGCTCATAAGCTGAAAGAGATCTATTTGACCGTGTCGTTATCAAATAAAATTGACTCACGGCTGGGAATATAAACATGAAAACAAGAAAAGTATGAACAACAACGGACATAACAATTGCAATGCTAAAATGAGTTTTCGAATTGTTTTTTTCAGTCTGCATCAAGAAGTATACTAACTTTTCTGGTCTACTAGCGTACTTATATGATAGGACAAAATACATGATACACCCAAATACTTCGAGAAAAATAATGTTACGGATAAGTTTAGCAATTACATTTTCTCTGAAATAAGCTATGTTAATTCTTAGGGTACCATTCACCTTTTCACTGTAGCTAAACGCAACTCTAGAAAGTATTATTGGATGATGGTAGAGAACACAAACGGAGTGGAACAGGGGGCAAGGGATAGGTAACAGCCCGGTAGCTTATTCTACAAATGGTGATCTATATAAATAGCGCTTTACTCATGAAAAGCGATTGTTTTCAGCAAACTGAATGCTCTGCACTATTTTCGGCAGGAGCTACTGCTTAATAACTGAGATCGTTCCCGCAGAAATCGCATTCTTGATGTTTATGGGAAAATGTAAGACGATAACAAGACTTCTTGTGTCAGTGCGATGAGTTTATATATGACTTATATATGACTTATCGCTAAACCAAGACTATTCTGACCACGAGTATAAACGCAAGTCAAAGGCAGCGGCTCGGCAGAATTTCAACTTCGGGGTGTTGGCAGATTTGGGGCTATTCCTGCCCCCTGAATCACGACATGCACTCCCCTTAGCGCGAAAACGAGGAAAACCCCGTCTGTTGAAACCCCTCTTGAGACGGGCGCGGACGAGTGAGCCGTTTTTCTCTGCCGTCAGAGACGCAGAGTAAGGAGGTGGAGAGCGCTGGAACAATTGAGTGACGAGTGACGGCGCGTTTTCTAGCGAAAAACATACTCGTCCGAACAAGGTGTTAAGGGAGCGAGAAGAGGAAGGGGAGCGACGGTTGAGCCCCCCCCCCCCCCTGCTTGCAGAGTTCACCTTTTCGGCGCGGAGTTGCTGTTTTGGTTCACTTGGTGAGCCTCCTATCCATCTATGTCAAAATCTGAGGTAGGTTCATTTTGCCAAGATGCTGCCTTTAAGGGCGGGTGGGAAGGGGAGTAATTTAAGTAGAGCAATTGACCACAAACTAGTACACTTACAGCGAGTCCAAAACTTTATGTAGCTCCAAAGCAATCGTTTTGCAAGATATCTTATGATAAGCAAAGGCAGTATTCCTGGTGAGTCATTTAAAAGTTTGGAAAAGGCTCTAACTTCAATGACTTCAAGTTTTGTCCAATGATACATGGAGAACGACCGCTAGTAGACTATATGTTTCGAAGTGAAGATCTTCATTTCACGCGCAAAAACTATAATGCGGTTGATCGCATCGCTCCAATAAGTATATTCTAACTAATATTTTGTAATTGCTGGAGTCCTTTACGCAAACTTTTGAAATTCTTGTGATGTCTTTGAAAGCCTGCTTTTTAGAGTTTACTAAGATCACTTACGGTGTCCCTTTGCTGAATATGCGCTCATAACAGTTACTCGGTACAAAATTCTCCCTCCATGGAGGATAAATTGGAGATAGAAATCGCTTTATTCTCTCCTTTCTAGTTAGTATCTTATCTAATCCCAACTGCACTCTAAAGATTTTACTGATATTCAATCACATTGAATGTTCCTAGTTTTCCAACCTTTTCGCGTTTTCTGCTTGGAAAAGAAACTTGTTGAGCGCAGCGTGAGCTTCTTGTTTAGCTTTGTACAGCTTCCATATTGTCATTCTGAACAGTTCAAGCTTTGTGACAGTAACGAGCCTCTTATAGGGTGGAGGACTCAACTATATAACCGGATTGTGTGCACTATAAAATGAAAGTGATCATTACCATTACTTTCACTTAAGCTGAGGTGTAAAGTGTAATAGACATGTGATAAATATAATAGGTTTTATTAGCAACGCATTCCTCATTTCTCCTGCAGTAGGTCGCTTTCCGGTTAGAAATTCTCAAAATAGCTACGACACCATAGAGACAATGAAAAGCAAGACTTACAAAATGGACATGTGAGCAGCTAATGTAACGAAATGTAGGATCAAAGCACCTTCGAAAAATCGAAGAGAAGACTTAGTAGGAACTTCCAGTGATCTTGTATCATCAAGAAATCTTAGGGCTACCCTGACGACAACCAGTTATGCACAACTTAGGAACTGAATCTCTTGGTTTGTGTCACAGTAGGCACCTGCTGTCTCAGCTGATACTGATGTTCACAGGGTGGTTAAATTTTTTGAATTTATTAAGGAACTTCTCATCAGCAGGGGTCTCGGAAATATATAATCAATAGAAATTCTGCTAAAATTTTTGGTGCCCCGCTGTCTTTAGGGCCCGGCATGAGTCCGTTTCTAGGCTTTTTGAAAACGAAGTTCCCCTTGACTCTCGCCAAAATTTACGAAGTTCCCTTTGACCCTGAACCATATCTGTAAAATACCCTTAAAATGAAACGTCGACTTAAAAAAAGTCGCAATTTTTTGCGTCTTTTCGCCCACGAAAACGAAACCCTCTTTGCTTTTTTGCCCCAAAAACGAAGTCCAGCTCCCATACAATCTGTGCCGAACCCTGGCTGTCGTCAATGGATTCACTTCGACCTTATGTACAGGAAGCACACAAATAGTTACTATTACTCGGATGAGAAGTCAACGCCTCAACAATCTCATTTTGTTTGACCCGCAGCAAAGTAATAGCCTCAGACTCCCGTAGCAAAGTAATAGCCTCAGACTATCCTCCTAGTAACAGGGAAGTTTTAGTCGAAGTGGCGTTTCCAAATGAGCTCTATATCATTTTGCAGAAAACCAAACGCTGATTTGAATTTGCCCTAAGTACCTGCTGTGCGCCTCTGGCCCGAGTTATGAGTGCTTTTAGGAGCAAAAAATGGAATCCTGATACCCACTGGTCCATTTGGTCGGTTTTGTACGATTTTGGTCTAGTTGCCTTCAGTTTTCCCGAAAACGTTTGTAACTTGGCGTCTAGAGGCGCGGCAGATGAGAAAAAAATTGTATCAGCGTTAAAAGTTCCTCTGAACGATATGATTTCATCTCGAAAGGAAGCTTCAATTAGGAGCAGTATCCTTGTAAGTATAATAGGTCGTTGATGAAGACGACCACTGTTTACCGTTAATCCTCTTAAATCTTTGTTCAAATGTGCGACTTGCTTCTTGGAAATTCCTGATACATATTCAAAGCCTTAAGGCACTTTATGGCGGAAGCGACCAATGCAGATATTTAGAATACATTGTTGCCGAGTTCAAAAATATCATCCACTGTCGGATATCCTATTAGATAACCATCGATACAAGTTTTAATATTCCTCAAAAATTATTCTTCTGCCATTTTAGCAGCTTAGCGATATTTCATAAACTCTAAAAATATATACCACTTCGTGTAAACATTGGATAGGAGTCGTTGTCGAAACAGAGCAAAAGAGGAAGCAAGGAGATTTTTCTTCATTTCTCGGCGAAAGTGCCACTTTTATAGCGTCAACCATTTTCACTTCATATGAGGCACATTTACCCTCGATTCTTCGAATAGTAACGATCACTGTCGTATGCTTTGATCACCCAATATGGAGCGAAAAGATTAACGAGCAAAAGAAAAGTACAAAAAAAAATAAGGTATGTAGTTCAACTATAGGATCTGTTACAATGTAATTAGGAAATCTTTGGAAATTATTGACAAATATGGTGTATTTTTGGCGACGTTATTTCAAGTTGAATTAAAATTAGAACTTCGGTAGCTTCTCACTTTTCTGGCCCACCCGATACTCCTAGTGAGCCGTAATTTACCTTCAGAAATTATTGCGAAACTCATTCAACACCTCAGTGTGATCGCAAATCTATTCCAGGATATTTGCCAATAGAAGTCTTTGAGGTGCGATGTCACTGAGCGGTTATCATAGAGCCAGCAGATCCCTATCACCTCATAAAACCATTAACTACGCCTTGGGGAGAGGGCGGCAGGGAGATCGAGGAGGTCATATATAAACAGCGAGAACTATTGAGATGATTCTAGTTCCCATCCAGGATAACCTGCAAGAAGTGAGTTTGTATTTCTTATCCTTTCACTAACAACAGGCTTTCTTCCATCCGTACTAAATCTCAATAACTGTCCCATTCAGATCAACATTGCACAACCTAAAATAAACTTCGCAAGTCGTTATCTTGGTGCGGCAATGACAGAAACACCTAGGAGAGCTTATGTAAGTTTCTGGGGTTCTACACTTTTTGCATTGAGTGCGCTAATTTTTTATTATAGGAAGCTTCTGCCAAAACAGTTTTTTCTTCCCAGAAGAAAATGGCTGTTCCTAACCCGTACATGGAGCAAACAAATTATGGTAAGCTTTAAATAGGTTCGTCTAGAAAGAGAAAAAATTTCTATTGCGAGTTTTTACCATTAAGATAAATGAGATTTACTTGAAAGAAGGATGACCATAATTCATCCTGATTTTAGTTAATCATCTCAATAAGATTTTTAGAAGCCTGACAATGTATATCCCATGTTTCCTATTGATGCATAAAAATTATTATTACTTTGCATGGCATGTAATTCAAGTCCATTTTTGATCTCTTCATGAGAGGCAAACCAGCCACTTTTTTATCTACAAATAGATCGTACGAAATCAAGAGAAAAATTGATGTAGGTCATATGGCAATTCAATTATATGTTAGAATGATTCTGATTTTGCCTAATATGTACGATAAATTTTTTTGAGCTAGTTGAATTGGCTATAACCAAAATCTTTGTATTCAATAGGTCGAAGATATCATTAGCTACTATCGATGTTTATGTGTTTATAGACCAAGCTGATAAAAAATTGTTTCGAGATAATGTTAGAAATTTTGAAAAGATTTAATAATTGCGAACCGCGTAATCAGCCAAAATTTGGAAATCTAGAATGCTTTTTCATTTCAGGTTTATGCACATCAACACCACATCCGGGCTTTTACCCGTTCCTACCACCATTCCCAGCAATCTTCTCTCCCTTCACATCCTATTATCCACGATATGAAAATTCGAGCACAAGCTCTTCGACGGGGTCATCCTATCCATCGACATCATCTGAGGAAGAATCGAAGCCAGTGCAGCCAGCGGTAGATCGCTGCTCACCTCCACCTCGTCTTTTGCCCTACAACACATCATTGGTGAGTTGGCCTATGATATTTGCGAATTCCTGGAGGAGACGCGTGTTTGCGACATATTTGCAGGTATTTTAGCATTTATAAAATTTCAAAAGGTCGTTCTTTTTCTCTGCTATTGAATTGACCTCTTTATTGGCTAGAGTTCCAGTTTTTTTTCAAAATTTCCGTTGTCACTCCGCTTTCACTTATCTTTTATATGCCGACTTTTTCGTATTTTCTAAGATATAAAAAGCACTATTTTCGAATTCTCTAAGCTAGTCTGAAATTCCGATTTATTCAGTCCGAAGATTCTGGATTCTCTACATCGTCTCCAGCGGAAGCCACCCCTTTGAGAAGAAATTCTCTGCGAGGCTATAAAAAGACATTTTGTGCGATTTGCAAAGTAAACATCAACAGAGACGGGAAAAGAAGTCAGGGTAGGTCAAGTGTTTCCCCTTTATTGATCATCCTTCTGATAACTATCTTCCTTCAGGTCCACGCCGTCACCTACTCCAGCATCATGTACAGAGACCCCTTTTTCAATGCCCTCACTGCTCACATTCATCGTTCTATGATAAATTTCATGTTACTAGTCACATGAGGCGGATACACCAAGTATGTACTATTCTCATTTCTGTTCTCTCCTCCTCACCACCTCCCAATTTATGGAAATTTTTTCTCAGACATTTCCTTAGATGGACCTTTACTTGCACGCAATGAAAATGGCGATGGAAATTAGTTTCTTAGCGTAACTGCAACTCATGCTTTTTGGTCTATTTCTACACCATCCTCATATATTAGGTCGGTGTAAAAGTTTTGTCAGTTTTTCAATCCATCGGCAAACACGCTAGAATGAAGATAAACAAACATTTCAGAATGTATTCGATGCAGAATTTCTTCGTCTTTCCAGCTGCTGAACTCTCATTGCGTTTCGTTGCGAGATTGACGAGATATTTGCTTAAAAATACAATCACTCGTTTTTACCATGCCCAGCTTTCGCTAATTTTTATTTTTGTAGCCCTACGGCTCGCCTTTCAGAATTTTTGCGGTTTATTTTTTGAAGTGACCAAATTTTACATTTAGCTTATTTTAACTCGTAGAACCTAAAATGTTAAACACTTCTGTCACCATTCGATTCAACTTTTTCTCCTCCTTCTAGCACTTGTCTTTTTTTGCCGAGACAGGCGAAATTTGTGGGGGAAAATCGCAGTATTTCTCAATTTCAGGAATGCGCACTGCCGTAACCTATGTTTCAAAATCTTCTTAATTTGAAGCGAAAATCGCTCATGTACTTTGTAATGGTAGCGGTAGTAATAATCGAGTGTTGAACCTCAGTATTCGATAGGTTTTGCAGTGTTTGGGTGCAATAACAGGTTATGCGATTTTTCCAAAACACAAGACTTTTGGAAAATTATTTAGCAAAAATCTGAAAAAGCAGCTGAGAAAAAGAAAAAAATTGCATAAGTTGGCAAAAGGTTTGCCCTATCTGATAGTTATTAGAGCTCCTGCGAAAGTCTCAAACAAAAATTTTGAAAATTAGCGAAGTTGGACATGGTAAAAACGGGTGGTTGTAATTTCCAGCATATATCTCGTCACTCTCGCAACGAAACGCAATGGGAGTTTAGCAGCTGGAAAGGCGAAGAAATTCTGCATCGGATACACCTTTAAGTGTTTAATTATCTTCATTCTAGCGTGTTTGCCGATGGATTGAAAAATCTAACAAAACTTTTGCACCAACCTAATATTATCAGCATAAGTTCTATGAGGCATTTTATACTAGAAGAAATTTCCTGGAGTTTTGGAGAAATCCATTAAAGCTCTAGTTATTGAGAAGGGTGATAAACCAAACGTTTGAAATGGATCATTTCTATCTCATTTTGCCCATCATACTGTCGGTACAGACTAATTTTTACTTCAGGACAACTCCGACAAGATAATCAACAGAAGCTCCGAATTTGTAGAAGAAGTGAATATGTGGTATAAGGTAAGTTGTTGCGACATAGCGTCATCGTCAATCTGCTTTTATTCGATTAAAAATAAAAAAAGTGAAAATTGATTTATTTTCAGCGTTGCTTTGGAGAAGGCAATGAAATGATGGAAAAGACAGAGATTGCTGAAGGACCGAGGTAAGACTTGCTTATAAGAAAGGGAGGCGGTGGAGGAGGGAGCAGTCTAGAAGAAATGTTTCACCAATTTCTTTATTTAACTCCATAGTACGCTCCAAATTTTTAGCTCAATTTTCTTTCCTCTTTAGAGCATGTAGGAAGCCAGATGGAACAATCTTATGGTTAGAAATGTTTACTCGAATTTTTACGAGCAAACTACGCAAATTACCTATTATTCCGTCTTTTTATGATGCAAAATAAATTTGCACTGAGCGCACAAAAAATTCTAGTCTCCTACTATTTCAGCTGCCAGCTATACTCATCGCCACCTCCAGTGCTAACACCAGAGCCGGCCTGCAAGGAAAATATACAACCCGAAGAAGAAAATCCTGAAGCACTCTTCCAAGCTACAGCACCCAAAAGACGCAAAAGAGGGTTTATGGTAGCAGATCTGTTGCAAGTGAGTAGTACACAGTGCGTATTTTTACTGATAAACTAGTGTATTTTACTCAAAAATCTTTCCATTACAGCTCAGCCCGGAGCGAGTTTTGATGCCAAAGAAACCCCGAATTGAAGTTCTCATGTGAAGATGATTGTCCCATGTGTACTGCCCAACTATTGCCGCTTAAAGGAACATCATAATACGGAGCCGGTTGCTATCACCGGTTCATTAACAAGTGTATATTTTCTTTTCATTGTGTTTCTTACTATTTATATTTTTGTGATTTCATTTTAAATGTTTTCGTATTTATTTATGTGAAAATAAAGATTAAAAATCAAAAAAAAAAATGGAAGGAAAGGAAAACGATGCGTTGAACCCAGCACCGTTTCAAACACCGGTCGAAAGAAATGGATTACCCTGTGCACAGATAAGGCTCCAATTAGTAATAGTGGCGGATCGAGGGGGGAGGGGCGGGGGGCGGACCGCCCCCCCCCACCCCGGGAATGGGTAGCGAAATTTTTGAAACTTACCTATATGGGTAATAAAAATATGCAAACGACTTGTTTATTTTTGTAAGTAATTAAAATATTTTTTAAAATTTTTTAAAAGTTCAAATTAGCCTTATAAAAAATTTTAGGGGTTGGAGACCCGCAAAAATTTTGGGAAGCACCCCAAAAATTTTTTCGGAGTGCGTGGCTAACGCCACGCACCTTCATTTGAAAGAATTTTGGTCGCCCCCCCCCCGGTCCGGAATCCTGAGACCGCCACTGGTGGGTAATCAAATGACTTGAGGAAGTGATGTAGTATATACAGTGCACTCGTGAGGATTTTGCCATTTGTTCACAAAATTAGAGCGCGGAAATTTGAAACTGAGCATCTCGTTACAAAATTCCATGTGAAGTAAGTCTTGTTCCTGAAACTGTGCGTGAAGCTAAAGCCTTTTCTGGTTTTCGTTACGATTTTAGAATGGGCGTTGGATACCTTAGAAATGAAGCATGAAGATGTCCATTAGGGGCCAAATCCAATTTATTGGTCATAACTGATGCATTGATAAGAAAATAGAAAATTCGTCGCGTGCAGAAGATGCACATATTTTTGGAAAGCGCTGCCGTCCCGACCTTTCGTTTGAAAACTTGACACTTTCCATACATATTATTGATGAAAAGGGTCACCTTCTTAGCAACTTCGTGTTAGGTCAAGACTTCCGATTAGGGACTTGTGAATTTGCTGGTCCAGACTTGCTCAAGAACTTGTGGTGACCTCTTCGATGCTTCAAAGCTAAGCTGTAAATCGCTATTATATTATGATGACTCAAGAATAGTCAATCGCTAACAACTCTCTTGCCTTGGTATCTCAGCTCAGGAAAACTCAACAGGAAAAAAAAACACTTTCGTATTCTTGCAATCCTATTTGTTTTCGCCTTATGTCTTCGGTTAGAAGGCTGATTAGCTCATAAATGGAAGCGGTGCATTGTACATTATGACCTTATACGCTCCTGTACAATTCCGCACATCTTCAAGTAATGTGTGTTCGGAACAACTCTTATACTGTGTACACAAAGATGAAACAGCGACCGGTTCTATTCTCTACTGGTGACAAAGAGAAAGCTTAGTAACACTTGGCATCTTTTGCTTGACAATGCAAAGATCGATCAGTCTCACAATGCCTCTTGAGTTAGAAGTACTGAACTGGCAAAGTGTTTTTTTTTTAAATTTTCTTGCCGATTTTTCGTTAATGACTTCCCTTTCGAGAAAGGATGTATTCTTTTCAGAAAAAATGAAAACGCGCATTTTGTTCAATATCACTCATTACGTGAGTGAAATTGCTATAGCACTGGACACTTGCATCTCAAAAAATCTCATTTAAAAAGAATTCTAAAAGATCAGGATCAGGATCAAACTCCATAGTATTCTGAATGCGCCAGCTTGATTTTAGGCTCTGAATCTCAAAACTAGTTGCACGCTTTGATTTCTATGATCTTTTTAATGAAGGTCGCGAATCAAAGAACTCTTCAAGAAAAGATTTGTTGGCTCAACTTTTTTCGCAAAGACACTGTACTCCTGCGGTTGTCAATATACCGCGCATGAAGTCTTATTTTTGAAGCGATATTCTCTTTACTGGATTGAAAATGGTGTCGAAAAGTGAAGATTGGGGCCCGTTTAGCTCCCAGCGTTTTTTTCAAATTCCCAAATGTCATCATAGCGTAAATATAGAATCTGAAAAATATTTGACCTATACAACGCATATGGCTGGCACAAGCTATCGTTCATGTTGGCTGCCCCCAGACATTGTAAGGAGTAAAGAATTTGTCTTTTGTCTTCGATGCAAATTAGAATCATTGCAAGAATACACCATAGCATAATCCATTATAATACCAGTGTGCGATTGTACGCGTTTTTATAGCGCCCCTCTGATTGTCAGAAACTAGCCGTAGACGTCCTTCATACCTCCGTTCACAATTATAACCATTCAAAAGCCAGTAGATTGTTTTTCCACAATATATCTTGCGTTCTCCAAAACATAAGGCTTTTTGGTAGATACCTAGGCTCTTGTCTGACAGGGCAGTAAGACCTTGTCAGTCGCAGTGGATGAAATTTACACTTACGGATGGCATTCACCCAAATTCTCGTCTTCCATGTTTTTGTCATTCTGAGGCCTTTCCGTAATCCTGGTTATACATATGAAACACAGAACCACAAAACCACAAAACATAAAACCCACAGAAAAACGAATTTGTGGAGCCCTATCCTGAAACGGACGACTTTTAGTATTTGGGTGGGCGGAGTTTGCTAAGGTGGGCGTGGCTTGATAGCACTTGGGCAGGTTCCAGACTCACTTTTTTCCATTCAGAGGCTACATTAGAGGGCCGGATCAACACTGATGTCACACTATTTATAGTGTTCTTATAAACTAAGGACTAGTCAGGGAGCATAAAATTCGCCTGGAGTCTGTCGTTAATAGTGCCAAAAATTGTCACATTTTCTAAAAGAGAGGTGAACTGCATACCTTCTTACAACGTTCTTTCCCCTGTTTAGGTAAGTTCAGTAGGGATCATTGCAATTATTCCGTTCTGCTTATGTGATAGATTTATGATTGTAAATCACCACTCAAATGCGCCCAAAAGTTTTTCTCTGGCACCGCTCCAAACTCGTTCAGAGCCAGTTGCCGCTGTGGTTGTCCTCCGTAGCACCATAAGACTTCTTTGCAACCTCCTATTGATTGATAGAATTTGCACTACTTCCTACAAGTTTTGCTAATTCTCTCATCGGTATGATTTATAGAATATTGAAAGTCTGGTTCATAAGTGAAAGAATTTCCTAACCTAATTTCCTCCTAATGAAGACTAGCTTCTATAGAAATGACATATCGCAGCGATTCATCTGGTGCTTAGTGCAGCTGAATTTGATATCGTTCTGGAATAAAGTTTGATGGGTACCATCTTCAACTCAACACTAACTTGCACTTGCGCGAAAACAAATGTTCCAAATGGTGTAAATTGAACAGACTGTTGGCAACATTAATTCGTGTCTCACCCTTCCTGTTTTTGAGATCTTTACGCTTCTTATTGGCCGCTTGCAAAACATACCCTTCAAAATTAATATGTCAAATTCACTCAATGACAGTCTACCACCAAATATAACAAAAGACGGAGCGGCATCCACAAGGTTTTCTTGCATTTTTGCCAGCGCTAGTTTGCGAAAGCCACGCAAAATTCTTTGGTGATAATCTCAAGCTAGGTAGATGGGTTTTCTAGCATTACAATAAAGAATAGCTCCTCCAACTTTTTGCGAGCAGTAGCTGTTAACCTTCTGTAAAATGAACACATAGCAAACAAACCATCTCTCTTCTGTTTCCTAAAATAGAATTTTATTCGGGTCGAGTCAGCTAGCTTTCTCCCGCAGGATTGCTGGCATCAAAACAGAGCACTACAATTTCTTAGAAAGGGCAAGATTATCGAATTTACCACATGTCAATCCACATGTCTTTTGGCAAGGTAATATCTTTGGTCTATACCTCGTTAATTTAGGGCATTTTGATGTGGTTGTTTTTGTCTTTCCATGCATTATGCAACTTCCTAAGTTTTGAGACTAGGTGGTATCGCGTTAGTTCGAGTTCGTTTTTCTTTTTTCGGTGCACTTCAGATGTAATTGTGAATGAGTAAACAACAACAAAAACAAACAAGAAGGTAAACTAGTGGAACATACATTATTCTCGGTGTGCATAGGAACTAGCAAAGCTTATGAATTATTACTACCCATCAAGAAAATTGCTTCAACTTTTTGTATCAAAACATGGCAAAGTTTGTGAGGTGCATTGATATAAATTAAATGACTATAAACATAAAACAACATAACATTTTTCCATTTTCTATGCATGACTTTGCATTCATCCAATTTGTTGAGGGTCTTGCAATAAAATACGATGAGGCGCTCTGGCGCGAAATCATTTCTGTGTGATCGTTTCTTTCCACATGGCTGTTTACTTTACATTCTACCTCTTGCATTCCAGAGTTAAGTATGTAGTTGATTCTCAAGATGCAATGGAAGTAACAAAAAAACCAGAAGTGCAGGTCTTTGTTGACTCTCTTTCGTTCAATAGCAATCCATTTGAGCCTTTTCGCTTCGCAATTTTGCCTCATTTTATTATCATTACAAAGCATAACTCAGCTAAAAAAATTTAAAAAGTTGCACATATCTGAATTCAGCTGAATATGTGACTGGTGTTGACAGGTGTGCGGTGGAATTTTCAAGAATGACGTTTCTATACATCTATAGTGATCAATATGCATTGAAATGCGGATCTATTCCATTTTCTACATGTTTTAACAGATTGTCCTGACAAATGTGAAGCTGCTTAAGGTTAATCTTGACAAGGTTATGAGCTCAAAATGAGCTAGTTTTCAGGTTGATGAATGCGCCTTCTGTTTGCGGCTCAAGCAGCCCAGAATGGCAAGAAGTTACAAATTTCTCGAGAAGGCGACAAGAATTTTGGAACCAGGTGTCCATTTCTTGAGCAAGAATCATTCTACTGGCGACGAAATGGTGCGAAAAATTGAGAAATGACTTTTCCATCAAATTTCAGAAAGCCATGCAGAAATATGAAGTAAAAATATAGTAAGAAAGTAAGAAGTAGAAGTAGAAGTAAAATAACGTAAAAACTAGAGTAAGAAAGTGGTATGCTACCGTTTTGATATTTACAACTATTCAATTGGTATGA